AAAATATATACAAATTTCAAAATAGAAGAAGAAATAACACAGAAAAGAAAAATACGTTTTGGATGTACCTGAGACTGAAATACAAATATCGTGGAGGGAAATCAACGATTCGGTCCTAGGAGAATGTTTCTCCAAAGCAACTATGTCATGGGATAGTAACCCATAGGTAGGCCTATAACACAGGGACTGAACTCCCGTTCCATTCAAAAATGGCATAGTTCATCCCATTCAAAAATGGCATAGTTCATCCCATTCAAAAATGGCATAGTTCATCCCGTCTGTCATGATTTTAATAGTCATTTTCTGAACGTCCAAAATAAATAAATAAATGAATAAAAATCTGAACCCTTGTCATTCTTTTGTAAATATATCGAGGTAATCTAGTCGTTTATAAATGAAAAATTGATGTCCTGAAGTGGGGATCATTCAAATGGAGATGGTCATCTGGAATATTTCAATTCTTGGATAAATAAATCCCAGTTCCCCCTCAAAAATTGAACAAAGCGTAACACATGATAAATTAAGGTTTAAGTTTACTTTTGACGTTTTCTTCTCATATTTTTGGAAGTAAGAGTACGGGCATTTGTTTTACTGTTCAGCAAAAACAAGTGGGATGGGGCTAAAACTAAACTACACAGCTGAGACGATAATATCTCGATGAAGATGATTTCTCAGCACGTTACTTTGTAGGTACACCACTGATCATGGGATTTATCGTCTCAGGTCAAAACTAGGAATCTTCGGCATCTTCTTGATCATGGTATTTATCGTCTCAGGTCAAAACTGGCAATCTTTGGCATCTTCTTGCTTCATATTTAAGCAGAAGGTTTGAATGTGTTTCAATGCATCCAACGCTCTCTGAGACGTTCAATATAGACCATGGTATCCTTCTATGGAGGGATGTCTCATTGCCTGCTCACAATCGTGTTTTGACTCGAGTTTCTACTAGAACGACTGTTTTTAAGTGTAGTTCTACTCGAGCCACCCCCCCCCCCCCCAAGAGGTTGTATTTTTTTTGGGGGGGGGGTCAAATTTTATTTTTTAGTCCCACGACTTGACCGTGGTTATTTATGTGGCCTATTTTCGAGTATTATAATAGGGGTGTAAATGGCGCCACCAACATCAAAATAGTCCGTCCCCCCATTTTTTTTTCTGCGGCAAAAAAATTTGGTCAACATTTTTGAATTTTGTTTAGACTTGCCAAAAAAGACAAGAAAAGAACAAGAAAAAAAAAACAAGTATGAAATCCCCCAGCCAAATCCTGAGTGCACCATTTGATCCCTTGTATCACTCTTTGGAAATTAGAGACTAATTTGGCCGATTTAACATTGTAAATGACAAACAAAATATCGGAAAACAGTATTCTGAACATTAACGAAAAAAAAGAGATTTTTGTCTCTGTTTCTATTCCAAATCCGATAATTGTGAAGACTTTGTTGCTTAAACTGTCATGCCCTGGACACGGATGCAGGGCGCCATCTAAGTGCTTGCCACAGGGAGGCATGTCTGTACGCCCTCTATACAAAACTGTGCAGTCCTTGCGTAACGTGTCGCATACGATTTTGTAAATAACGACGATTTTGTGTGGTTTTGTTTGGAGAAGTACACTTGCTAATCAAACTTTCTGTGTGTGTGCGGTACTGCATCTAAGAATGAAGGACGGCAGGATTTGCACGACACTGACAGTGAAGTTTTCAAGTCGATTTAGGTGGCAAAGCTTGGTACAAGTCTGCAAAACGGCCTCATCAGCCTGCGCTGCGCGCGGGGGCCGTGCTCAGAAATTTGACCGAGTCAGGTTCGCGGATGGGAACAGAACGCCCTCTATCCGGACAATCATAATGCTTGACATGCAGGGCTGGTGCAGTTTATTTATCGGAGCTTGCATTTATTAACAGACAATGGTGCCGCTCAAGCTATCTCTCTGAATCTTAAGGCCAAACAAAAAAGTCTCCGGTTTCTGGTATGCGCGCGCGTCGCCGTAGCCATGCGCGTCGGCAAAATGAAAAAGTTGTTTTTTTTCAATGAAAGATGATGTCTCAAAACCGCCAAACTCACTGGTTTGACTGGAATCATGCTGCTGCACAATTTTAACGTGTTTTTAGATTGGGTTATGGTCGAGAATAAGCTTTATGTGGCCTCTCTGGACTCCCATATAATTATTTGCACTAAGTTTATAAACTTAGTGCATGTCGGGCACCATTTGCAGTCATCAGCCGACATTTGAAGCAAAAAAATCAGGTAAAAAAAAAAAAAAGCCGCGTCGCCGCACCACTTTTTGGGCAAGCTCCATATCGGAAACCGGAGACTTTTTTTGGCCTTAGAAGACAAACGAAGGACGCTCACAGGGGGAACGGAATGATAGAAACGCGTTAAAGGGAATGAAACGAACTCCAGTGATGTGCACTGAATGAGACACAATAGCATGAATCTGGCAAAGGGACAGAGACAATGAGCATACAGGATGGAATAATACTTTATTTATTCAGATTAATTGGTAAAAACACCTGTCTCCCAAAAATACAACTATCCAATTAAAAGTAGTATACCAAATTTGATTAAAAACCGTCCAACAGAGTAAAAATACATTAACAACAATAATTCCCTTAATTACAATAATTCCCTGAATAATATGAAACAATCTGTGCGACAATTACATGTAGTCGTGTATATTATAATTATTTTGAGTTGCATTATAACAGTGTGTTAATTATCTCAAATTTCTGAAAGATTAACGAAATACAAAGTCAATTGCAAGACTGAGCAGGAAAATATATACTAGAAAAACTGCATAGTTATATTTCTACAGAAATTCTATTGATAGAGGATAGTCGTTGTGTTTTCCAAGCTTTTGATAGCATTTTTGAATACAACCGTTGAATGTCAATGAATCGAAAAATAAAAGTTTTGAATTTATGGGACGGAGCAGCGTTTTGTGCATTTTCACTTTGACGTAGGCCATGATGACCTTCATGCCAGATTGACTTATTCCTTAAACTTGAGCAGCCTTCGTATTTCTTAGACTTCATGGGTAGACTTTATGAGTATAGCGGCCATATTATAGGACATCCTTCGTTATTTAAATTCAGTAACAATGAGTGTTTAAAAGGTTTATTTCTGGTATGTCACAGCAAGACAAATGTATTGCCTTGATGACTGCTACCTATAAGGTCCATATACGCCTTGTTTGAAATATTGTGGGCAAGAGAGCGCGCCTTTTTTCAGTGGGTGACCTCTCTTGTATATTCACCCCGCAAATGTATTATATTATGTTATTCATTTTTTAAAAATTATTTCATTGAAAATAAAACATGACAAAAAATAAAAAGCCCCGCTTCCTCCTTTTTTTTCAAACACCCGGACGAGAAACATGTTTGTTTTTATTCGGCCTAAGGAGCCAGCCGACAGGTTGCTTGTATGAGGCTGCATCCTAAGGCAAAAAAAAAAAGTCTCCGGTTTCTGGTATGCGCGCGCGTCGCCGTTGCCATGCACGTCGGCAAAATGAAAACTTTTTTTTTCAATGAAAGATGATGTCTCAAAACCGCCAAACTCACTGGTTTGACTGGAATCATGTTGCTGCACAATAAACGTGTTTTTAGATTGGGTTATGGTCGAGAATAAGCTTTATGTGGCCTCTCTGGACTCCCATATATTTGCACTAAGTTTAGTCGGGCACCATTTGCAGTCATCAGCCGACATTTGAAGCAAAAAAATCAGGTAAAAAAAAAAAAAGCCGCGTCGCCGCACCACTTTTTGGGCAAGCTCCATACCAGAAACCGGAGACTTTTTTTTTTGGCCTAATAGTAAATATACAAAAACTGCAAGATCCCCGTTCGAATCACTTTTATATAGGAAGTGAGAAAACCACCACAATTAAAATAACAGTACAACGGAACTTAGCAAATCAGCCGAAATAATGTGTCCTAATATCTGTGTCCTAATATAATACATATCGAAAACTTTTGTGTTTTATGAGCCAAGGATAACTATAAAACCAATCATTTCAATAACCAACCAGTTACCCGAAGTCTTGCAGATAATGATACAAAGGTCAAGTTAAGCCATTCCGCACTCTAAAAGTAAAATAGTGACAAACACTCCAAGTTGTTCCTCCATGGCTCCTTAAAAAGAGTGGAAGTTAATTCACTCTTTTAGAGTGGTTCTTCACTCTAAGAGAGTGAAAATCCACTCGTAAAAGTTTGTACCCCCATAATGCTCTTTAAAAGAGTCTTGTTTTTTCTTCACTCTTTTAAATTTAGGGATTATGACAAGACAAGAACAACGATACCACATTGATCATAAGACCGGGCAACGATTATGTATTCGGTAAACGTCCAAGAAACAGGCATGCAAGACCCTGACCGGTTTTTTTTTTGGTCAGGTTTATTTTAGCCGTGGTGGCTTCCTGACCTATATAATATAAGATTTCTCAAAAATCAGTGATTCCACTTTCCAAATTTGAATTTCCTTAAAAATTGTCATATTCCTGAAATTTCCGTAGAATTGTCTCTGTATTTCCTGATCTTCTTCTTAAATAAATGTAACTTGAAGCCACAATGGTTGTAATAAGATTGATAATTCCTACAGGTTTATTTTTTTTCAGAAGTCTCTTCGAAGCTCACTGCGCGTCCTCATCATCTGCACTTGCTTTCATATTTTTATGCAGACTGCGGCTTCGGCTCTTTCTGGGACGCGGCCCTCCAGCAGCCGTACACAAATTTAATATGTTTTCAATGATATTTCTTATATTTATGCAATTTCTTTTGAAAAGTCTTTTGAATTTTGGATTTCCTTAAATTTTCTTTAAATTTTTTCGTTTCCTCAATTGCCTACGCCTGCCAAAGCACGATTTGCATGCCGTTTTCTCTGCTAGGCTATTAAAGCATTTTGTGGTCCATGAACTTGAGGATTTGTAAAAAAAAAAAAAATATTATGTGAAATGAATAGCGCCACCAGTTGCTCATCGCGGAACTGTATTGACGGTGACCGTGACCCGAATAATCATACCGAATCGAAGGTCAATTGGCAAGTTGCATGCTTGGACCGTCCTCGACCATGGCCGCTGTACTCGGACTGGATAGGATAGAAACAATTCCAACGATGGGAAGATGAATGGTTTGTTGAGACAAGCTATCGTTGGAACACTGAGAACACGTAGTCGTATTGCATGCGCAGGGCAGTGTGCTAACATGACAAGCATTGCGGTCTTTCCGCCGTCGAGTTTCATAGACGACACTGTGTCCGTCGTAGTCAGTGGTTTGGCACCGAACACTCGCGTTAGCTTACGGTCAAGTGTGCAGGATAGAGACAAGGTTTTCCAAGCCGTGGGTCATTTTGAAGCTGATGGGGATGGTAAAGTGGACCTTAACGCCCAGCAATCACTGGGTGGTAGCTACACAGGTAGGCCATATAGATGTTAAGTAATGTTTTCGAAAACGGAATAAAGCATAATGATCTTTCAGTGAATTTGAGACGGTCCCAACTTAATTTCAGGTGGGACCATTCCAAGGGGCGGATCCAGGAAGTTTTGCCGGGGGGGGGGGCAGGCCAGTCAGATTTCTTTATGTCCCAGTGGCGGAACAAGTTTGTGTGTGTGTGTGCGTGTGTGGATGTGTGTGGGGGGGGGGGGGGGGAAGTTCGCAGATGTAGACAGGTTTTGTTCCCGAACACTTGACGTCCGTACCATATCAAATTTAAGGGGTGGGGGGGGGGGCGCTGTTCAAATCGAGTGATCATGCACACTATCGGACAATAGTGCAACTTCTCATTTGGGATAACTTTCTACTTATTTTTAAAAACCCGCAAATACAAATCAAATAAATTTAATAATAATCCCAAAATGTTATACACACAACGTGTAAATCTCTTCAGGGCTATCGGAGATTCACTAATTGCATTCACTGAAAAATTGCCTGGGTTACTTTTACCCAAGCAAAGGGTGAAAACTGCAACAACCGACATTGGGTTGTGCTTTACCCAATTGTTTCGGTTACAGTTCCTGTACAATTCAACCAAAGCTTGTGGTGATACAAGACCAAATTTAATGTAGTCTGGTATGACCACAAAATTGTGTTGAATTTAACAGAAATTCTAACCCAAACAATGGGGTAAAGGACAACCCAATTTTGGGTATTTGCAGTTTTTACCTTTGCTCGGTTTGGGTAAAATTAGCAATTGTTCAGTGTTTAGCACTCAATGTCCTAACTTCAAGCATTTCATCCCCAATAAGAGATTTCCGACCTTGTTTATTCATGACTTTAATGGAGATGCTAGAAGATATGTGTTTGTTTTCTCAGGTTTGGAACCCATGGGGTTGTTTTGGAGCCTCGGCCCTGCACCAGGCCAAAAGAGGGGTATTCGCTTCGCAAAGCAAGACGTCACGGAACCTGTCGAGTTCACCTTTGCCGTGTACAATGAGCATTTGGAGTTGCCGTTGCTCATCACAGCACAACCACTGGCCGTCACTCAAACACGGAGATGGTACATGAAGGAGAGTGAAGTGGACAGAATCAAGATACACTCAGGGAAGATCCGAGGAATTCTCTATAAACCAAAAGGTTGGCTCGGATTAATATCATTATAACCCTACATGTAATACCAATGTATAAGTTAAGAAAGTGCTCGATGCCAGTCATTAATTAAGCTGATGCTGAATTATACATTGTAAGCATAAGTAAATAAATTATTATCATGATAAACAATATTGTGGCCGAAGGTCTAGCGTGGCCTCTCGGTAATCCAACGGTTCCAGGGGGCCAATACATCATCAATCTAATTTCTAATTTCTAAGAATAAGAATTATCGAGCACTGAGGTTCTTGAATTTTTGAATACACACTGAAGTGCTAGCTGAGCGGTCCAAGGGGTTTATTTTCACAGTAGGGACTCGTCTAAAACGTCTAGTTCTAGACAGTGGCGTTGTGGGCTAAAATTTGGCGAGATGAAACGTCTCCTCCAGAACTACCAAATAGCGCTCCACACACGCATGGCATTCTATCGGGCATTCATTAGAGCACAACTGGCATAGGCCTACGCGTGCCAGACGTGGACGCTTACGAAAAAGCACAGGAGTGTCGCCTCACCTCGACCCATACCCTGCTCTTGCGCCGATTAGCCCGCGGTGGCTTCCGTCGAGAGACGAAAACAGGCACTGCTAAAAATATTCTAATAACGATATATATATGAGCTCTGCCAGTCCTCACCTCTTCACGAATTTGTGGCGGCACAACGCCGCAAGTTCACCGCACACCTGATACGCCAACCGAACCAGCGCCACACCAAACAGCTACTATTCAATGCCGATTCCTACAAACAGCCTGGAAACCGCATTGGGACGATTCTAGAGCAAGCTGAATTTTGAGAAATGTTGTTGACTCAAAAGCAAGCCTAGGCCTCCCTCCAATAACTACACAACCTGTGGTTGGAGTTGATTGATTGATTAAATGGGAGAAATTTAGTGTCGGCCAAGGGAAACGGAGATATGGAGACCAAACGAAGGCTGGAGGGACAAGACAATTGAACCAGGGGACGGCAGACGAAATGAAATGGCTCCGGGTGAAACTTTTAATACCGTCGTCTAACAGTTTGCTCTGTTTATTTCTAACGCAATCTTTTACTGGTAGGGAAAGAATGACACTGTACATCATACAGAAATTTAGCTGCACGATCCGCATCCCTTGCTCGGTCTCCCTGAAGAACATGTACGCACTGTGATACATTTACTCTAAAAAAATACCCAGGATCCCAAACTGTCCCAATTCATTACACTTTATATTATGCGTATTTTGTATTTATTGTTCAGGACCAGGTCCATTTCCAGCCGTGATCGATATGTTTGGTCTAGCAGGTGGAGTCATTGAATACCGGGCAGCTATGCTGGCTTCCAAGGGAATCATCGCCCTTGCTCTTCCCTACTTTAGTTACGAGGACCTGCCTCGGTCTTTCCATCATCTGGAGTTTGAATATTTTGAGGTATGCATAGACCGGACATCCTTTAAAAAAAACCACCTTGGAAATTACACATAAAGAGTAATGATTGGTACATTATAAACTATTATAAGTTTTTTTTTAATGTCATCTTTGTGGAAACAAAGCGCTACATCGGTGCATCATGCGGCTGTCTATAGGGGGAAAATGGGCATAATGTCCACCCTTCCTTGATAAAGGAATCAGAAGCAGTATACACATTGCAAGGCAATTTGACTGCTACCCAGGTTTCGCTAAAAGGCAAGTAATGTTTGTCCTGGCGTATATAGCAGCTCCATTGACGCCGGGTTCATTTCAGCTTTCCCTTTATTGCTTTCTGTACTGCTTCCGCAGGAGGCAACTGCCTGGCTATCCTCGCAATCCTTCGTGTCTCCCAATGCTACAGGTATTGTAGGCACATCCTTTGGAGGCAGCATAGCTCTTGAAATGGCTGCAAGACTTCCCCAGGTTAGTTCAAACCTTTGTTGTCCTATCTCCAGATTCATTTGTCATCGGTCGGTGCATCAATCTTGGCACTTATGTATTACAAAGTTAATGAACCAGGGATGATAGTTTTTGGTCTTTGGCTGGGGGTGGGTTGATGTAAGGTCCAGGAATCATGATGGACTCTCTTGTGTTCAATGTCATGCTTCCAACAAATGATTGTATAATGCTCTCACGTAGGCACCCGCCTTTTGGTAGTTTCTAATGTGTTACAAACGTTGAATTCAAAGTAAAATAATGCATTAGACATCCCTCCTATTTTTCTTTCTAGTTGTCGCCCCTTCCCTTGCCCCGCTCGCACACCCTTGACCTAATAAATGTTACAACTATTTCTTCGTCTTAGATAAAGGCGGTTGTTGCTACTTCATGCCTTCCATTTTTTAAAACGCTCCTCACGTACCGCGGGGAAAGGACGCCTTCTTCACATCCGCCAGTAAGTCACATCAGTATGTATGTAGTAGTACATACTGATGTATACATAATTGAGTTCTGTTTACATATCAAGGGGCGTCATGATTAAATAATTTTGATGCAATAATGTTCCGGGCTTGTTATGAGTGCAGTATGTTGTGTTGATAGCGATAAAATAAAAACGTTGAATTACGTCAAAACACCATTCGAGTCTTATTCGTGGTTGTTTGCTCCTCATTGAATATAATCTCAGAAGTGCGTTAGGGACTTTGATAAAGCAAGAAATAAAGGGATAACCGATTGTCCTAGTTCATTATTTGAATTTTGGTTTCAGGTCGATCCAGAGAAAGGCTACATGAGCAAAGAAGGCTTTGCGATGAAAGAAATGTTTACGGAGGACGTCTGTAACTTACCCGACGAGGAACTAATCGATGTAAGCTCTGTTTAGAGAGGAAGATGTTTCTGAATCAGTATTCTTGAAATACTATTTGCTTACTAAATTTTCCATTTCATTGTCTTTACCAAGATGCCATCGTTTTCAGAGCATTACAGGCCGAAACCAGTCGCCGCATTATCCCTTGGCCCTTCTTTACAAATGCAAATGAGTGAAATAATAATAAACATACAATTTCGAAAAGAGTTTGGACGTACAACCACCAGCTGGCGGCATAAATTTGTAACTAATGTTCAAATATGAAACCGGGCTTAATCAGCCACAAGGATAGTGTTTAATTACACTCTAATACACGACTTCCGTGTAACGTCTGCCATTTATTGCATAATTCAAGAGCTTAACGTTGGGTTTCATGTTTGTTTATCCAGATGCAGAACTCGGAGGCACGTTTCCTTTTCGTCCTTGGGGAGGACGATCAAAATGTCCCCGCCGCAGAGGGCGCCAGACGGACGGTGCAGAAGATGCAGTCTCACAATAAGACTAACTACGAGTTGCTGAGCTACAAGGGGGCGGGGCATCTTCTGGAACCCCCTTTCCAACCTGCAGGCAGAGGGATCTATAATGCTCCACTGGGTATGTATGCCCTTCAGTCACTAGGTTTTTTTTTTATTAAAGTGGTGTTTACAAAAATAACAGTTTTTAACATCCTTTTCAAAAAGTCTGTTGCGGAACTTGCGAATTTGTCCATGACGCGGCCTCTTGTAGGGGCTTCAATTGCGCTACTCTCGTCAGTCGGGTTCCTCCTATTTACAATATTCGTACAAATAGACCTATCTATCGCCCACGCTTGGTTGGCACAATTTGCCAAATACGGGTTGCAAAACTGTGGAAGGTCCAACACTACAAAAATGGAGAATAGTTATTAATTATTACACACATATTATTTGATTGTTGAAAATACAAAATAATCAACAAACACTACAAAAGACTTCGTAAACATGCATTTATCTTTTGTTATGAGGGTGTTATGGGGACCTTTTGGAAAAATATATAGCCAACCACGGCATCAATTTATGCGCTTGCGGCAGCCCATACAAAATGGCGCTCATTGTTTACACACAATAGAAAGGTCTATAGGAAAATCAAATTCAGTGTTGTATCATTTCCGTTCAAATGACATATGATCGCGATTGTGATGAAATGTCCAGGAACCGTTCGGGATACTTTGAAGTATTAAAAGAAGTTGACAATGTTTTCTTCCCACGCCTTTTCGTTCGGATTTTAACATTTACCACTTAAAAAGCTATCAAAAATTTCGTTAAACATTTTAATATTTTCCTTGCAACAATGACAATGTTTTTGCAGACCACGTGCTGGATTTCGGTGGAGAGATGAAAGCACACGCTCATGCCTGTCAGGATGTTTGGTCTAAGACTCTTTCCTTCTTGCGAAGACACCTAATGACCACTGAAGGAGACGGACATCAACTAACATCATCGTCAAGAATTAGCAAGCTTTAAGTTCTGGTGAATTTAAACGTCATGTATATGGAGATCAATGGCTGCGACCGCGCCGCGCCCTCTATCGTTCAGTTAAAACCAATTTGTTGCCAGGCCAGCCAGGCGGAACGCCTGGCTAGGCTGCATGTATAATTATACTGGGCCTTTCAAGTTCGTCGACTCGTCAGTCTGGTTCTCTAGTCCCTTAGTTGTATTCGTGTTGTTGGCTCATTGATGGGCCGACAGGAGGTACAAACTCAAAGAAATATGTAATTAAAAAAAATAACGCAAAAGAACTAATTTTATTGCAACTTTTGAGGCTTGATATTGAGCAGGAAATCACATGAGAAATGACTCGGACACATCTTTGGAAAAAAACAATAAAAGACTCTTGGCCCGAACATTGGCGTATGTAGGTTTCGAGTCTGGGATGAACACAAAGTGGGGAATAATCTGAACATTTTCAAATCTACAAATACATGTATTTTCATGGGGGAGGGATCGGCTGGCATCAAGAGGGAAGTAACTGCCAAAAATATTCAATGTCAACAGTTTTCTTTAATGTGGTATTAAACAAGAAAACAAGTACTTAAAGTAATTATATATTATGTACAATCAATAAAATTATTCCAGCTGAGCAATATTGTGTAGTTATTGTAAATGTGTATAATGTCCAGATAAATTAACAATTTTTTTTGAAAATTTAAATGCATTTTCTATGCTACCTATAGTGGCAATTATTAAAACTGCAACCATTCTTGATGTCCTTGAGGGCCAAGTTTTGATGGTCTGCTCTTTTCCACTCTTATCTCATCAAAAAAAATATAGCATTTGTCAAATGAAGTATTTTAAGTTAAAAGTTATTATCTGGAAAACTGTGAGACTGAGACAACGCTCAATATCTCGTTTAAATATTTTTGTTTGTACCATGTTTCATAATGACAGGTCTTTCCCGAACGCAAATTGTGCAAACCTTACTTTTGAGTAAGTATTTTACGCGTACTTGCTTCAGTGAATCCTAAGGAACTCTCGACATCCAGAGTAGCCGATCAATATTGTACCAAGAGATAAGACGAGGTTGCATGGGGCGTCGCGAGGGGGGGGGGGGGGGGGGGGGGGGGGGGGGGGCAAGGGGTGCTTCCCCCCCCCCCCGGAAAAGCAAAAAAAAAGAGAGGGAAAAAAGAAGAAAAAAAAGAGGCGCGAAGTCACATTGGCAAAATTTCCCTGCCCCCCTCTAAAACTGATAAATCGAGAATATGTTGAGAAGTACAGGATTGTTTGGGGAAAAAATTGCCCCCCTCTAGAAAAAATCCTGGCGACGCCCATAGGCCGGGAGGCTGTAAAATATATGCTTCATCTCCGATCTAAATGGGAGACTTTTGAGACGGTGGTGCACGGCAGCAAACATACCGGTCCTTTTCAATACGGGCGATTCCAAATAGTGCGGCTCCAAGAGTTTGCAGCGCGTTGGCCAATCACAATGCGCGAAATCAGTCGACCTTTTCCAAACGGGCGTTGGGTCGACAGATTTTGCGCATTGTGATTGGCCAACGCGTTGCAAACTCTTGGAGGCGCACTATTGGGAATCGCCCGTATTGTTTAACCCTAAAGGGGCCGGGGGGGGGCGGAATCCGCCCCCCCCAAAAAAAATTTTCCGCGATAGCTTCTAAAAAAATTTTTTTCGCGACCCAAGCTGTTATGACTTTTTAGCCTCGAGCTTTGCGCATCTTTTGATACCAAAAACATAAAAATCGGACCACGGGTTGGCCCGTAGCGAAAAATTTTTCGGCGCTACGCGCCGTGAAAACTGAATTTTCGCATATACGTCGTGTACACCGAGCAGAATTGCCATTCATACATATGAATAATTAATTAGCCATAATTCCAAAACCCTTTGACCTACAGTCATGAAATTTCTTGGGCATGTTAAGGAAGAGTTGCTCTATGCATGTGCTGAGTTTCAAAATTTTTCGTCACTCGATGGCCGAGATCTTAGGGGGGGGGGCGGAATCCGCCCCCCCCCCCGGCTGAGAGATGGTCAAAATAACCCGGCCCCTTTAGGGTTAAGTCATGTTTAAGCTAAAAGGACCGGTATGTTTGCTGCCACCAACGTCTCAAAAGTCTCCAATTACATTGTGCAATTTAGCGTCAACGTATCATTGTACTGGACAATTTTGAATGCCAATTTTGCAGTAAGAATTAGGTGAAAGTGCTTTTACGATAAACATGTTTTGGATCTCGGATAACCTGACCCATCCCGGCAACTCAGTCTATTTTTTTTTGATGAATCAGAAAGAACCACTCTCAATGTAACAGGTGAATGATATTTTGGATCATTTTGGATATCAGAACATGTAGTTTGATATATACACTCAACGAAAAAGTTGTCTAGCCCCCCCCCAAAAAAAAAAAAATCCATAAAAAAATGCACTAGCAAAATGTAAGAATTTTACGTACATGGGAACGTTCTCCCCCTAAATGAGAAGGGTGCATTTTGTACACTTTTAGTTAATATAGTGTCACTGCCGCTGGAACAAACTTTTGCCAGTGGGTGCTGGAATTTTTGAAGGATAGACAAAATTAATGCAAAAGCGGAGCGCAAAGCCCTTACGTCGTGGCTTAATTTGGAATATGGATGCTAGGCCTATGTGGTGCAATCTGAGGCGCTTTCTGGCCACTTTCATTTGAATTTTTTAGCAAAAGTGTTTTGAGATTATAAAGACAATTTATTTCATTACAGCCGAGTCTTGTTAATACAAACTCGTTCGGACCTAGCCAAATTGTTTGTTATATCAGATTTTTGTATTAAGAGGAACATCAGTCCCATTCATTGTGCACATAAATGTACAGTCGGACCAAGGCTTTATGTTTGTTATAACCAGAATTTGTATTAACAGAGTTTGTACTAACGAGAGTCGACTGTATTTTGTTTAGAATATACTGTTGCTCTTAAAACGTTTAACTGTACTGAAAAGTGGAGAACCCTGTATGTTTATGTCCATATTTGGTTCCATTTAATTCTGGAAAAAGAATTGTATCATTATGCATGACATCGCATGTAAATATTATTGTTGCAAGGCTGCTTTCTTACGTTTAGTAATTACCTTCGTGGTTTTGTTTTATTTTCTGAGCCCTTACGGCGTGGGGCCACAGGGCCAGGGGCCCGCTTTAAGGTTCCGGAAAATGTTGGATTCTGGATGCACTGTGATAAAATAAACTGAAGTATACTGAAACTTATAAAACCCGAAAGGATGTTTTTGTTTCAAGTTAAAACAAATGGTTCCACTGGAAGCGGATGAATGTCTGTTCATAAATATATTCACATAGTTCTAACTCACCAAACGATGTAGCTCTCGATATATTTGCAGTGTTATTTGATTGTTACAGGGAATAGCAAATATAAAAGACTAAAAGACCAAATGCATCTTTATCAGTGGCGTATCCAGTGTGGGGGGGGGGGCACTTTGCCCCCTCCCTGGCGGATTTTTTGAAATTTTTTTTTGTCAGCAATGATTTGAAGTGTTTGTAGAGTTCTTCTGACATCAATCCCACCAAAGAAAACCCTCTCAACATCCATTACAATGCGCCGTGAAATTGTCCATATAATAATAATTGTAGTATACATAATAATGGTAAGTTTTGAAGAGCGCCCCCATTTGGAAGATGGGTTGGTTTGTACCAGCCCCCGCCGCGCTTAGCCGCGGCAAAACACGAAGGAGATATTGGTAGAGCAAGCATAATGTATAGCGTAGCGGCGCAATTTCATCGTCGTTGAACACTGCTGGCTGGAACACATTTTTGCCCGGGAGTAGGGGGTGCTGAAGTATATTCCAGCACCCCAATCCAAAAAGTTGGGGGTGCTGCAGCACCCACAGCACCCCCTGTTCCCGCGGGCCTAGTGTGCCTGATCGAGGATTTTATCAGCGTTCCCCATTGAAAATATGGCACGTTTTGATTTTCAGAGGCCCAAGTGTCCGGAGAAAATAACCTGTTTACATTTCAGCACGCCTCCCTGAAACAATTCTGGATCCACCTTGCTACCCCCCCCCCCCCAAAAAAATGTTGACTCTAGAACCGCGCCTGATATGCAGTATCACATTTCATATTGAGCAAACTGGATAGAAAAGGAGTATTATTGAGAAGGCGTGGACCTTATTATTACAATGATCGTGAAAACACGTAATGCACGTTGGAAATAATAACGCCAACTACACGATATATATCCATTATAAGCAAATTGCGGTATCGAATCAGGTTACAGGAAGAAAGTTTCCTATCCAGGGCTTACTATTGGAAACGAGGTTGGAAATAAAGTAAGCACTGGGGACGAGGTTGGTGTCCGAACATTTTGCAGTTGATGCACATTATCTAGCCTGATGAGGATAGTACGAAAGCCCATTAGCGCCACTGCAAGTATATATGTTGCGGATTATTTAATTCGTTATTACGGATTATTAATTCGTTATTACGGATTACTAATTCGTTATAACGGATTATTAATTCGTTATTACGGATTATTTAATTCGTTATTACGGATTACTAATTCGTTATAACGGATTATTTAATTCGTTATTACGGATTATTAATTCGTTATTACGGATTATTAATTCGTTATTACGGATTATTAATTCGTTATTACGGATTAATTAATTCGTTATTACGGATTATTAATTCGTTATAACGGATTATTTAATTCGTTATTACGGATTATTAATTCGTTATAACGGATTATTTAATTCGTTATTACGGATTATTAATTCGTTATTACGAATTACTCATACGTTCTGAGTCATTACTCGGCAAGTATGGCACAGGAGTGGTAAACGTTGTATGCAAAGATAGCGCCGCCTAGCGGCGCTATATACATAGGCCCCTGGTCACGTGCTCTCCACGTGTGAGAACATCAGACTTAATTCGTAATAACGAATTAATAATCCGTAATAACGAATTAAATAATCCGTTATAACGAATTAGTAATCCGTAATAACGAATTAAATAATCCGTAATAACGAATTAATAATCCGTTATAACGAATTAGTAATCCGTAATAACGAATTAATAATCCGTAATAACGAATTAAATAATCCGCAACATATATACTTGCAGTGGCGCTAATGGGCTTTCGTAGGATAGAGACACGGTCGAACGTCTGATATATCCTAACGTGCATATTAATTATGCGACGCCTCGCGCCGGCCGCGGAGTCGACTTTAGAAACGTCATTTCGAACAGAAAATGTGGACTAAGCTGTTGATTAGTCAATTTTGATGCCATGTTTTTGTAATACAACAACGGGTTACCGAAGACTTGATATAGAAGGCGCCCGCTCAATGGTCCGAATCTCGAGGTTAAGACGTCTTGTTTTGCATAATTAGTCGCCGAATCTGCTTGTATCCCAGACCTTCGCTGTGCACATGCAAGGGGATATTCCACAGACTATGCATTCCGGGAAAGAAAGAAATAGTAAGGAAAACCGAAGAAATAGGAATCTAACGTGGGACACGGCAACCAGAACCAGCAGTGATAGGTAGGCCTGAAAGTGAAGGTAATCGTGGCGTTACTTCATAGCGTGAGGACCCAGTCTTCACTGCGTGGTAATGACCGGGTTTCGGTTTGGGGGATATAGCCGCTGTTAATTGGACCGAACCGAAGTCGAGGTACATAACAGCGACCATCCCCCAACCCGGTCAATACCACGCAGTGAAGACCGGGTCCTCGCACTGTTATTCCACTGATTAAAATAATAACTCTCACTCTCTTCACTCTCCTGAAGACGGTCAGAGCATACTGACCGGAACGTCGAGTTTATACCTCTGGTTCTTTTCAGAACCATTCTCTTAGTTGAGAAATTATTCGCACATGGTGTTTCCGCAAACCTTTCATTTAGTATCTCCACCATGCACAGCCTCAAATCTTACTTAAAATAATAAGTACTTTTTTAACGAAATAAACAGTAAAAATGCTCCGAACCAGGGATCTTTGTATCCATAGCTCATATCACTATCCATGCTACTGCGGTAGCTCGACGACGACCTTAAGATCCCTTAAATTAATGTAACTGGTTAACTTCATAACAACATTGTTCTTGACATTCTGTTCTCATGAATAAACATACTTGCCCGAGCGAATAGTATACTGAATTATTCATGACTTGCCCCAGTCGTCCCGGTGTCGCGTGAATATCCGACTCCATGAAATATGGACTCGTTGGTAGTATTGCGCATGCGTAAGTATGATAATTAGGAGAGTGACTAATCACGAGCCAGGGATTAACCAATAATAGGGGGAAAGGAGTGCGATTTTCATAGGAGTCGGATTTTCATGACACCGGGAATAAATATTACGCGTGCTGCACTATACAAGGCCAGATCCAGCACACAATTTTTTTTTTGGGGGGGGGGGGCCAAATTGTCCTTGCTTCCAGAAAAAGTGGGTCCAAAAATTGTACTCCCCAAATTTAGTATGAAAAGCAAGGTGAGCGGGGGCAAATGCATTGCTTTTGTTCCTTTTTTGTGTGGTGTACACAATGACTTTTTGGCGACGTTACTATAAAAAAATAAAATAAAATAAAAATGGGTTCTTTTTCGGGGGGGGGGCGACCGTTGCCGCCCCCCCCCCCTCCCTGGATGCGCCGTTGTGCACTACGTAAGCACACGGCGCAACTTTGAGCCAGTATATACTGCTGTATTGTTACAAGCTACCGTAGGAGTGTTGTACATTTGGCCAATCATTGGCTTACATATAATGCTGGATCAATGCTGGATCAATGCTGGTACAGGGGCCAAATTTTTATTCGCTTGTCAGTGATAGCCTATAACTTTCGTGCGAAGCGCCCTTCTTTTATATCACACATTAATACACCCCAAGTGATTGAGTCTCCACCAATCAGAAGCTACCAACTCTCCAAGGTATTTATTAATTGCATTTAAATGTTGTGCGGCTGAATGCCGTTGTCATCCAGGTTTACTGATCTTGAATACAACTTCACTATAATATACACTTGAGAATTGATTATATTTTCGCAAAGGTTCGGTAATGACCTTCCATCCTACCGATATCAAGTTTAAGAGCGTCATCACAATGATCGTTAATCCCACCCTAAAATAATTGTGCAAACCCTTTTTTGAATTGGTCAATATGACTAGCCTACTCTGTTTGGTTGTTCAAGACGTACATCACATTTAAGAAAGTTTCATCATCTTTCGTTTTCTGTTAAATTTTCTGGGGATTAACCAGTGACTTTTGGGAGAAAATTCCATCCAAAGATGATCACCACTAAGTAAAAGCAGTCCTGAAGCCCATCGCCATTTTGAAAATGGACGCCTGCGCTCCATTAGATAGAGCCATTTTAGGGCCTAATTCCATCCACATTTCACAGAAATACGAGCTCGCAGTCCTCTGCACGGCTTCCAACCTTCTTTTTTACAAATCATCAAGTTCACGGCCTTCAAAATGCTCCAATACTGAAGAATTTGACGGCATGCAAATCGTGATTTGGCCGGCGTAGGCAACTTCGGACCGATTTACTGGCCTGCACCCCTAATTCCTAACGGTATCCGGTCACTTTGGCACCTTGCCAACTCGGCACCTGCCAACTCGGCACCTGCCAACTCGGCACCTTGTCAACTCGGCACCCACCCACCTTCAAATCCCTCATCAGCCGCGGACCTCTCTCTCAATAAGTTACTGTACAACGAACACCCTCTCTCTCCCGTTGCTCTTATGCCAGAATTGGTTTCTTGCAACGTACACCTACAGATACAGATACAGACAGATCCCTTCGTGGAACCGATAATACTTGAGATGGATGTCCCTTACACCAAAATTAAATGTAATTCATTAAAACATATTTTTGACATTTGTCAGCCACTCTGGATTGTTTGAAAACCAACGGGAGTGACGTTGGTGATGATGACGACGATGATGGAAGGCGCTTCGATTGAAACGTGGAGGCAAACAGGGCTAATACTTTATTTCAAATGATTTATTTCAGTTATGATTCCAACCATAAATGTTTCTAACAGCAGTTTTTAAAGAAAATGTTTTGGAGGACTATTACTGATTGTTGTTTACACCAAAACAGAATTCTGGTTTTTGGGTATTGACCAACCTAAAATTTTCGGGGCAAAATCGACAACCCAAGAACTTTTTACTACCACATTTGGCCAAACGTTTGAAAGAAACACATGATTGTTTCATTATTGATTCATTCAACATAAAAACAAAATAATGTTAATATCTAAAAAGCCATTCATACAAAAGAAACGCACTTAAACATAAATTGACCTAAAAAATAATTGTCATATCTATTATCTTGGATTTTTATATTCTTTAAGTACTTTTTTAGGTATTCTTTAGTTGTTTGGACCAAATTTTGTTATTATCGGGATGATTCAGAAAACCAATTATCTGTAAAGAAATATGCTGCAACAAAAGATGTTTTAAAGGGGGCATGATCCGCCAAAAATATTAGGGCATCTTTTTTTGTCAGAAGCAAAAGCAACTGAAATTAAAAGCCTCTTTCATAGGATTGCTAACGCTCAAAATAGGAAAATCATAAAGAGAGCAACTTTTAAATATAATGATGTCACCAGTCCTGCAGATTTGTGACGTTTAAATTCACCAGAACTTAAAGCTTGCTAATTCTTGACGATGATGTTAGTTGATGTCCGTCTCCTTCAGTGGTCATTCAGGTGTCTTCGCAAGAAGGAAAGAGTCTTAGACCAAACATCCTGACAGGCATGAGCGTGTGCTTTCATCTCTCCACCGAAATCCAGCACGTGGTCTGCACAGACAAACACATTGTCATTGTTAGAAGGGAATATTAAAAGATTTAATGAAATCTTTTGAGTGTTTCATTTGCTACTTGAAAAACTCAAAAATTTTGATAAAAAAGTAAAGCCCAACGTTAAGTTCTTGTACTACATTATACAGTACATAAAAAATGAAAGGTGTGGGAAAAAGTAACATTGTTATAACTTGTTACATCAAAATATCTAGCACGATTCCTGGATTCATCGCAATGACGGTCATCAAGTCATTTGAACGGAAATAACTATACAACAATGAATTTGATTTTCCGAAAATTATAAAAGGAACCCAACTAACGAGAGTAGAGCTAGAGCCATTTAAGTCCCCATACAAGAGGTCGTGTCAAGGACAAATTCGCAAGCACCGAAACAGACTTTTGAAAAGGATGTTTAAAGATGTCATTTTATGAAAACCACTTTAATTAAAATTTAGTATAAGTAAAAAAGGACAAACATACTCAGTGGAGCATTATAGAATCCTCTGCTCAGAGGTTGGAAAGGGGGTTCCAGAAGATGCCCCGCCCCCTTGTAGCTCAGCAACTCGTAGTTAGTCTGGTTGTGAGACTGCATCTTCTGGACCATCCGTCTGGCGCCCTCTACAGCTGGGATATTTTGATCGTCCTCCCCAATGGCTAAAAGGAAACGTGCCCCCGAGTTCTGCATCTACAAACGTGAAACCCAATGTTAAGTTTTTGTACTATATTATACAGTGCACAAAAGGTAGACGTACGACAGTAATGTTCTTGTGGCTGTTCAACATTACAAATTTAGCTTAAAGTGCTTCACCTTTTGGCTGCACATCCAAAGTCTTTTCGAAACTGTAAGTTTACTAGATTTTTTTCACTCATTTGCATTGTATAAAAGGGCCACCGGTAACTAAATGCGGTCACTGGTTTCAGTCTGTTTCACTCTGAAAACGATGGCATCTTGATAAAGACAATAAACATGAGGATTTGGTAAACAAATCATATTTCAAGAATACTTAAATCTCATCCTCCTTAATCAGAGCTTACATCGATCAGTTCCTCGTCTGGTAAGTTATAAGTGTCCTCCTTAAAGATGTCTTTCATCACAAAACCTTCCTTGGTCACGTAGCCTTTCTGTGCATCGTCCTGAAAACAAAATTCAAAACAATATACAAGGACAATGTTTTATTGGAGTCCCTTGCTTTATCAAAGGTTCTTGGTAACGCAATAAACAAGTACGATCCAATGAGTTGTAACCAACCACGATTAAGACTTGAATACTGTTTTGACGTAATTCAACGTTTTTATTTGAACATTTTAAACAGAATATACTGCATGCATAACAAGCCCGGACTCCATTTGTAGTATTGACATAATTATGATGACTCTTGATATTTGAAGAAGTGTCACCACCAAACTCAAACTCTTTCATACCCTCAATCTTCCATCAAAACTCTTGTCCTCTCCCTATGCAATCAGATTTCGTACTCCTCATACAGTTATCCCTTACTTACCTCATCACACTCTATCCTTTCGTTTTCTGAAACCGTCTTCCCTTTGTTTTCACTATAGGACTGTCCTAAACAAAACCCATGGCCGGCTTTAACAATATGTTGTGACGCAACATTTGGGGTTGTGAAATTCTGGAATGCTGGCGAATGCAGTTTAGCGAGATTGGCTAGCTTGAGCCGGCAAGCTAAGCAAGGCTAAACTTTACGCGAAGTTGATTGGCTAAGATTGGGAGGTTTCATTATCCATAGTAGGGGTGGCAAGTGAAATTTAACTTCGTTGAAAACAACAATGATGTACACCTCGACAATAACTGGAACTGGTGTGACAACAAGACTCACTTATAAATATATACATGTACTTACGGTTGGTGGATGCGAAGAAGGCACCTTTCCCCCACGGTACGTCATGTGAGTTAAAATGTATGGAAGGCTTGAAATAGCAACAACCGCCTTTATCTAGGACGAGGGAAATAGTTATGACATTTATTAGGTCAAGGGTATCTCGAGCGGGGGCAAGGGAAGGGCGGCAACTAGAAAAAAAATATAGGAAACGCAGAGGAAAAAAGAAAAGTGGATGGCCTAATCCAAAATGTTACTTTGAATGTAATGTATGTTACACATAAGGCGAGCCATCAGATAACAGACCGTTCGGGTACCGGGTCCGGTATGCTAATTTCTTTCACCCCAATCGGTACGAAGCCAGAAGCCACCCGGTCACTGAAGCGTGACGCCCCAATCGGTCCAAACTGGTGACTCAGGGTTTCACAATAGGCAACATAAACTGAAGTCTGGCCATTGTTGGAGGATTATTCGGCCCGCTGGGATTACCAGCGGCAACTTCTATGAAGCTCATCACAGTCATTGTTGCCTACTGGAGGATTAGCGCGTCGCAAATTGGTTCCTTTGTGATGAGCCAGAGCCATGGTGCAGAAGCCTGGTGGAGTTAATCCAGACCGATCGGTTCCATGCAAGGTCCCAATCCCTTCAACATACTGGGCGGGCTCAACCCCGAACGGTCCGGGGAGGGATTCTAATTTGAGGGCTCGCCTAAGATATTCCAGAAAGGCATGCAGGGGCCTTAAACAAGTTACAATGTACCTACGTGGGCCTGTATAAATTTGAAGCGGCAATTCACATTGAAAGAGACAGGATTTGGTCTATCAACGTTAACAGACCAAGAGAGTCCTTCTTGATTTTATGTTGAGTGATATCAAGAGGATTCATGGGCCTTACATTAGCACCCCCTCCAAAAAAATCCCACAAAAGCCAAAAACTGCCATCCTTGGTTCAGTAACCTTTTAACAAGTTGCTGTTTACACAATTAGTACCAAGACTGATGTACCAATGAAAACATTTGGAGATGAGAGAACAAAGGTTGGAACTAACCTGGGGAAGTCTTGCCGCCATTTCAAGACCCACGCTGCCTCCAAAGGATGTGCCTACTATACCTATAGCATTGGGAGGCACAAAGGATTGCGAGGATAGCCAGGCAGTTGCCTCCTGTAGGAAGCAATACAGAAAGCAAAACAGGGAACGCTGAAATGAACCCGGCGTCAATTCCTTGGAGCTGCTACGCCAGGACAAACATTATTTGCTTTAAAGCGAAACCTGGTTAGCAGTCAAATTGCCTTGCAATGTGTACTTCTTCTAATTAATTGTTTAGCAGTATTTTACGCCAAGCATCACATCCACTTACACATAAGATTGGATGGGATTATCAATTATAGGCTTAAGCCTTTTAAGACCCCATATCCATATTCTTTCAAGTATAACTATCGAAGGTATTCTTGAACTGATTGACATTCATGGCATTTACGACGTAGGCTGGGAGGTTGTTCCAGTTGTCTATTACCCGTTGGGAGAAGTGCTTCCTCAATTGGAGACCTTTGTGCATTCTCTTCTTGAACAACTGTGACCCGCGTACTCGTAAACTTGACTTTGATGAAAACTTTTCTGAATCCATATCATCGAAGCATTTCCATGCCATGTCTCTTATTACCGTAACAAAACATTCCACACTTATGGTTAGCATTATATTATTAGTCACGGATCGACGGGAATTTAGTTTTGCATGTGCACTTTCGCACATCTCCGATAATCTGTATTCTGTGTTTAATAGAGCAGTAAGTTGGAGCTGCAAGACCACAAAAGTTATCACAATGGTTATCACAAATTCCCTGACCCCTGCTCTTGTTATACAGTCGATATTAACGACAGACAAACTATAGAACACATGTACATGTATAAACTGACAACACTACGAAAGCCCATTAGCGCCACTGCAAGTATATATGTTGCGGATTATTTAATTCGTTATTACGGATTATTAATTCGTTATTACGGATTACTAATTCGTTATAACGGATTATTAATTCGTTATTACGGATTATTTAATTCGGATTATAACGGATTATTCAATTCGTTATTACGGATTATTAATTCGTTATTACGGATTACTAATTCGTTATAACGGATTATTAATTCGTTATTACGGATTTTTTAATTCGTTATTACGGATTACTAATTCGTTATAACGGATTATTTAATTCGTTACTACGGATTATTAATTCGTTATTACGGATTACTAATTCGTTATTACGGATTATTTAATTCGTTATTACGGATTATTAATTCGTTATTACGGATTATTTAATTCGTTATTACGGATTATTTAATTCGTTATTACGGATTATTTAATTCGTTATTACGGATTATTAATTCGTTATTACGAATTACTCATACGTTCTGAGTCATTACTCGGCAACTTAGTATGGTACAGGAGTGGTGCTGGTGTAAAGCAAACGTATGCAAAGATAGCGCCGCCTAGCGGCGCTATATACATGTACATAGGCCCCTGGTCACGTGCTCTCCACGTGTGAGAACATCAGACTTAATTCGTAATAACGAATTAATAATCCGTAATAACGAATTAAATAATCCGTAATAACGAATTAAATAATCCGTAATAACGAATTAATAATCCGTAATAACGAATTAGTAATCCGTTATAACGAATTAATAATCCGTAATAACGAATTAAATAATCCGTAATAACGAATTAAATAATCCGTAATAACGAATTAATAATCCGTAATAACGAATTAAATAATCCGTAATAACGAATTCATAATCCGTTATTACGAATTAATAATCCGTAATAACGAATTAAATAATCCGTAATAACGAATTAGTAATCCGTAATAACGAATTACATAATCTGTAACATATATACTTGCAGTGGCGCTAATGGGCTTTCGTACAACACTGTCTTATGACGCAGAAACAAAATCAAATTCTTGGATTTAAAGTTGGATCCATTAGCTTGCTGGGATTGACCAACATTATCCTAGGACATAGACCCTGTGTTAGCCGTTGATCCTGTGGAATGGACCAGTGTTCCTTTATCAAGGAAGGGTGGACGCTTGACCATTTCTTTTCTAGACAGCCGAATGATGCACCGATGCAGCGCTATGTTTCCAAGAGAAAATTTTATGATCTTAGCTTGCTGATGACATTCTTCAAGTAATACGACAATGCAGATATTTGTTAAGGATGTCTGTGCATACCTCAAAATATTCAAACTCCAGACGATCATAAGTCCGAGGCAGGTCCTCGTAACCACAGTAGGGAAGAGAAAGGGCGACGATTCCCTTGGAAGCCAGCATAGCTGCCCGGTATTCAATGATTCCACCTGCTAGACCAAACATATCGATCACGGCTGGAAATGGACCTGGTCCTGAAAAGTAAATACAAAATACGCATATTATAAAGTGTTGTAAAGAATTGGGACAGTTGGGGGCGCTGCAGATAAACAGTCCCGGACAGAGTCTGGGCCTTGGGCAGTGTAGGGGACGGATCGTGCAGCTAGATTTCTGCATGCAAGTACATTGTACAGTGTAATTCTTTCCTTACCAGTCAAAGATTGTGTTAGAAGTAAACAGAGCAGAGTGTAAGAAGACGGTATTGCAAGTTTCACCCGGAGTGATTTCATTTCGTCTGCTGTCCCCTGGTTCAATTGTCTTGTCCCTCTAGCCTTCTCTTTTTCTCTTGGCCGACACTTAATTACTTTTTAATTTTTTTATATATATATGCACCTAAAACAAATTTTTGGAGAAAGTTGTACAACTCACCATGCTCAACTTCACTATTTCGGTTCGTTTGCAATACCCTGTGCGAGAATCCTCGCGCGCGTTTTATTCTAGCCACTGGTAAACAGCTAGAATAAAACCTCGCACGTGATGGCGAATTGACCAGTGAGAGTTCGGCTTTCGATCATGATGAGCAGGATGAGGTATAGTAATTCCTAATGATCAGTGGTGGACAGTAATGATCAGTGGTGGACAGCTGAATTTTGTGATCTTATGATAGTCATAACTTGGGAATATAGGGTATATTCAAAGTACATGTAATTAAAATGTTCACAGTTACTAGTCAATAACATGTACTTTATCCCTATGTTATTTTTGTGAAATGCAGCATGCCACATACCTTTTTCAAATGTTGTTTTTTCTAATTCGGTCACTTTCTTTTTGACCCACCCTGTATTTTACTTAATCGTTATAATTCAGTGTCAATTTAAACAAATGACAAAACAATGACAGATTTAAAAAGACTGGTTTCAAGCAGTTTCTTGTGCTAATGATATTAATCCGAGCCAACCTTTTGGTTTATAGAGAATTCCTCGGATCTTCCCTGAGTGTATCTTGATTCTGTCCACTTCACTCTCCTTCATGTACCATCTCCGTGTTTGAGTGACGACCAGTGGTTGTGCTGTGATGAGCAACGGCAACTCCAAATGCTCATTGTACACGGCAAAGGTGATTTCGACAGGTTCCTTGAGGTCTTGCTTTGCGAAGCGAATACCCCTCTTTTGGCCTGGTGCAGGGCCGAGGCTCCAAAACAACCCCATGGGTTCCAAACCTGAGAAAACAAACACATATCTTCTAGCATCCCCATTAATAAAAAAAGGTTGGAAATCTCTTATTGGGAATAAAAGTGCTTGAAAATTGGAAATTAGGCAAAATAAAAAAACATGTTTAGCGTCCCCGCCCGCTTCCTTTTTGGAGGCTGCCACCCTTTTTTTAACCAAAAAAATTATAAATTTCAACAGTGCTTTCATTTTGGCCTCTTTATCTGTTGCATACAGCCCATATATATACAATGTAAAGCTGTTGTGTCATTTCCCGAGTCAAGAGGCGGCCATAAAAAAACTTGGCGGCCATCTTGAAAAATAGCCCAGTCGGGTGGCCATTTTGGAGGGAAAAAAGGGCCTCCCGCTGCCTTTTTTTTTTAAAGGCAGGACGCTTAACATATTTTTATTTTATTTTGCCTAATAAGTTCTAAATAATTTTCCTGAAGACGTCGCCCCAATTACGGAAAGAATGTCAAGATGCCACTTCTTGGGTTGCGTACAAAGTCTATGGAGAGTCAACACAAGTGCATTTCAAAGTAGGATGGGTTGCCATATCATCGCGGTACTTATCACGTTTCTCGTTCGGAATTGAGATTGCCCACTGACCTTCCCGAATTGTCCTGTCTTTTGTGTTGTAAAACTCTTCCTTTTCAAATTGATATAAACAAATCCGACGGTGGTGTGGTTTATTCCGTGTACGATGCCTGAGAAAATAGACATGCTCGGAGTGTGCTATAACGGAGGTGGACTCCCTATTATCGCGGTAAGCGGGAAGTGGTATTTATAATGATCTCAACTTTTATATTCATAGTAGTTTGACCAAAACATCCCCTGAATAAAGTCTGATATTTTCCCTGTAACGTTCAAATGGTTCAAGTTGATTAAAGACTATATTCCTGTAGGATGATTTCTTAAAACCCTGCCCCTCCACCGAAAGGAGAACAAAAATCACTGAGATAAGTCTACTGATGGGGGCGCCATTCACTTTACACGGTGTGCCGGGTTTTTTTTTTTAACGCGCTGTCCTTAATTTTGATCCCGTTAATGTTTTAACGATTTCGCGGTGGATCTGGAAATATCGTCCTTCAACTTCATTTTGTGTTTGCAGCTGTTGAATGGGAACCAGAAAATGGAACCTTCATGGACAGAGCACCATTAAAGATTTATGTTAAAATATAGACGGTACCTATTAGCAGACACGGTGAGGGACAATTTGGAAGGTTTGGAAAACATTAATATTTATTAAAAATGGTTTAAAGTCCCGAAAGACACAACATTGTTTGATCGTCCTTTTTATACAACTCAGCAGAAAGTCCTTAGTGCCTGGTGAAAAATCGCCACTTGAAGGAGTTTTGGCAACGCAAAAAGAGAAATTTCCCATGCCGCGATAATAGGGATGCCGCGATAATACTATACATGTATTTCTCACAAAACTGGAAATGTTTATAAGTCCCAAATTCATGTCTTTCAAACATTTTTTGCAATGGCTGACCATCATTGAGATAATGATAAAAAACTGCCGGCAGGATCCAACATTCTTTCCCCAATTTCCATTGTCTTATAGTAGATGATGTAGTGCCTTGATGCTGGGCCTTGGCCTTAAGGCTGCCTTAAGGCTGGATTTTAGGGCCTTGGCCTTAAGGCTTGAGGGCAAAAGCCTTGGCCTTGGCCTTGAGGGTTCAGGGCCTTGCAATTTTGAGTCAAGGCTCTTCAAGGCCCATAGATTTTTGAATTTTCCATATAAATCTGTTCGAAATTTTGCTGTTACCATTTTAATCGTATCACCATGGAGGAGGGAAGCACCCTATAGATTTGTGTGTTGGGCACACTTCCACTTTTGTAGCATCACATTTTGTTGCCATTGTAGTAGATTTGCTGCAAAAATATTCCGTACACTTGTGGGGCTAATGAGATGATCACTTTAATTGCATATAACTACGGAATAAATCTGATTGGTTGTATATGTCTCCCTGATAAGTGCTAAAGATTTGCATATATCTGTTTTAGATAATGCTGATATTTCTGACCATGTTGGGCCAGCAAATAAAAATTTCCCAAATCAGTTTCTCGGATCCCCCTTTTGTTACACTTGGGAGAATTGTGTGTCGATATAGAAGTAAATCATAATTTGTTTAGTTAAACCATATTGAAGACCTGAACTTATACTTTAATAGATACAGTGCAGTCATAAAACGGTGTAGGCCTATGCGAGCATGTTGATTGCAATTAAAGAAATGTTGTTCTTCGTAAAAAGCGATTTGTGATGATAAGGGCGGATCCAGGGGGGCTAAAAGGGGCCATGCCCCCCCCCCCCAAAAAAAAACCCGAAACCATTTTTTTTAATGTGACGTCGTAATAAAGGCAGGCAATGAGTACACCACCATCTTTTCCTCAAAAAACATTGGTTAAAGTGGTCAGAAATTGCCTCAAATTGCACCACAGAGCATCTCGAATCCAAAATTTTTTCGGGGCCCTTAAGCGGGCCCCGAAGCCCAAGCCGTAATTTTTTGACCCACTTTTTTTTGGGGGGGACCAAAATTTCTTTGCCCCCCCCCCCAAACTTGTGTTCTGGATCCGCCCTTGCGTGATGATGTGTCACTCATGTGACTATAATTAGTTCTATATCAGTGGTCATTTCATAAAACAGGGCCATGGCCTTGAGGGTTAAGCCTTGGCCTTGGCCTCGAGGCTTGAGGGTCAAAGCCTTGGCCTTGAGGGTCAAAGCCTTGGCCTTGGCCTTGAGGGTCAAAGCCTTTGCTCCAACACTGAGTAGAAGACCGCCTTCTTGGACCACTTTCTATTGCTCTTTGAACAAACCATATTCCACTTTTGCACCAACTGTAAACGCTCCGAGTATTGATAATAATAATAATAATTACCCTGGATTGGACATTTGGGAGATATCCCCATATAGACTTGTACAAAAATTTTCAAACTTAAATGTGCCCAAACCCAATATTACCTTGCCCTTTTCCCACAAATTTCGGTATGTTTACTAATTAGACCACGAGCAACAAATATAATCTAATTGCGACAGCAAAATTTGCCTCTAAAGGGGGGGGGGGGGGCTGTGACATTATGGAGACATGAAAATGTCTCCCTAATGACGGATGTCTAGTCCCATTGTGCAAAGAAATTACGGAAAGATTTCCATATACGAAGTTCACTTATTTTCCTCTGTATTGACTAACAAGCCCCCAGATAGCAATTTCATGTCATCAAAGTCAATTTGAGCAGTGAGAAAATACAAGCATTTTCTTAGAAAACACTTAGAATTTTTCAGTCCAATCTCATAGGGTTTGTACACAAGGTGTTGAGTGAACTTCGTATATGGAAATCTTTCCGAAATGACGATTACAGGTATTTTAATAGTGGGTATTTATAAAGCGCACGTATCCGCCAGGACTGGTGCTCAAGGCGCTACATCATTATTACCCCTGCTCATTGGGCCCATGAAACATTCCAAATACCACCTCAGCTCCCTAGGGAGTATACAGCTCGATGCAGCCTGATACTATTAGGTGCAAGGAAGCGAATTCGAACCATCTCTACCCTCACAGGTACCCATTTACTCCTGGGTGGGGAGAAGCAATTAAAGTGACAAAGTGCCTTGCCCAAGGGCACACGCACCATGACCCCAGGCTGGACTTGGACCCACAACCTGCAGCTTTATTCACAGACCACGAATCCAACCACGCATGCATGGCCACAGCACTCTACCACACTTCAAATTGGAAAGATTCCCACATCTGGCCATCACTTTTCACCCTGCACACAAACTGTATGCCTAGTATGAGACTGGTCTGAACATTTTACTTTTTAGGACAAATCACTTTCTGAAGGCAAAAATTAGTGATGGCTAGATATGGAAGCTTTCCTGGACATATTAAAATTATTATGAGTGATGTAATCTTACCTGTGTAGCTACCACCCAGTGATTGCTGGGCGTTAAGGTCCACTTTACCATCCCGATCAGCCTCAAAATGACCCACGGCTTGGAAAACCTTGTCTCTATCCTGCACACTTGACCGTAAGCTAACGCGAGTGTTCGGTGCCAAACCACTGACTACGACGGACACAGTGTCGTCTATGAAACTCGACGGCGGAAAGACCGCAATGCTTGTTATGTTTTTAGCACACATTCGTACGTAACGTTGCAGTGGCAGTGCAATACGACTATGCCTATGCCTACATGTTCTCAGTGTTATCACGGTGGCATGTCTGAAACCATTCATCTTTCCACCGTTCTAACAGTTGCTGTCCTATTCAAACACCTACACCATGGTCGTGGTCCAGGTGGGCCGTGCCTGGTGACCTTCGCTTGGGATCACCGCCGCGGGTCACCTCCGCTCACTACTTACCAAAGATGGTAGAGCGCCGCGTAGAGCGCGCGTAGCTTTGCTACTTACTCAAAGTTCAAACTAGATCTGTCTGCTAGCTACGCTGCATGTACAACAGGGTGGCCGTACAGTCAGAGCCAAATTCTGCTAAATGCACATCAAAAATCTGTCAGATTTATCAAAAATCTGCCAAATTCCCCAGAATTACTCGAAATACACTATAAACATGCAGATTGGTAGTATTGCCTTAATTAAGATTCAAATTACATAATAAACAATCTAGTCACATAAAGATGTTGTGAAATTATTAGTAAATTTCGGGCAAAATGCGGATCCGGCCACGACGAAGCCGTTTCCCAGTGAACCTCAGCACCTAGACCAGCCAACCTGTCCCATTATGCAAGGGTTTGTTTGGAAGGATTGAAGCTTTTTTAAACAAATGTACACTTTTTTGTTCAAATTTGCTGTTTTTCTGTCAAATAACCATTTTTGCTGAATTCTGCCAGAAATCTGCCAAAAAATCCATTTTGTCAAATTTTCTGTCAAACTCGTTTTTTAACAAAAATTATGTCGAAGTTAGCCGAAAATCGGCTAAAACGGTCATCCTGGTGTGCAGTGCTAGTTTCATGGGCAAGGGCGCCACCACATTTCTGGTAGGAAAAAGGGGAGGGGGGGGGTATGTATCTCCCACTCTTTTTCTTGGTAAAAAAAAGAAAATGCGGATTTTGAGGCATTTTTTATAAATTCCCAATAACCAAAAGGTATTCAGTGGCACTGAAAAACGGAGAAAAAATGTGGGGATGTTATGTCACACACTCCCCACACGCCCACTCTACCGACGCACGTTCTGGCCCTTTCGTTTAAAAAGGGCAAAATATCGCCGGAACAAAATGGGGGGGGGGGCTGGATACGCCACCGGCGCCATTTTCAGGAAGATCCATGGTTTTCAAATGAAGAGTAAAATGAGCTCCGCGGTCATTAGCGGATCTAAGAGCCGGCAAAGGGTGTAAGCGGCGTAGCAACGGGGGGGGGGGGGGGGGGGGGGGGCGTACGCCCCCTCCCATAAAAAGCTCGCCCCCGCAGTCGCCCCAACTGGAAATTTGGCATGCGGAGCCATATGAGTTACCACGATTAGCTGGAAGAACATAAAGACCCTTTTCCGCGACTTTGGTGCGTATTTTTCACCAAAACCTTTTTTTCGCGAACTTGGCTGTTTATTTTAACGTCATTGAAAAGTGAATAGCGGTAGTTATTCGCTCGTACCCCCCGCCCTGCAAACAGGGCGTTGGGAAGGGTATATGTACTTCACCAGCCTCGACTCCAGGGGCGCGTGCGCGTTCCTTAAGATCGCGCAAGGCATGATTGGAAACAACATGGCGCAGCGCGATCGTACCCATGGGGAACGAGGTTGGTACTTCACAGAATCTTGTGAAGGAAGTTGGGATGGCATTCTGGGTAATTTATTATGACCTATGTATAAAAAGCATCTGGCTGCAGCTGTAGACCGCGGTTAGCCAATGCGCGCAAATACTATCCGAAAAGTTTGCCATAAAAATGCATACACACCATACCGGATGTGATTTCTTTTTCATTGCGGACCATGTGGACAAATTTTGAGCGTCGAATGATATGCATTCCGACCCTTCGTGAATTCGCCAAACGTCGAGCCTGGGCAACTGACGGGAGTTGAAAATTTACAAAACAGATAAGTTTTACAGATTTTCCTACATTATTATGCTTTTCAACCAAAAAGGGCGCCGCATTTATGAATTGGAGTAAAAGAGAGATGAATGACGTGACTCAGTCTTAACGGCCGTTTCAAACCTTGCAGGGTCGTGGTCGTGATGACTTGCAGGTCACAGGTCACGCAAAATCTATCCAATCAGAGCGTTAATTCGTCAGCCCTTCCCAGCGTCCTGTTTGCAGGGTGGGGGGGGGGGGGGGGTACGAGCGAACGGTAGTTATTGTTTAAGGTTTTGAACAGCGCCCTCATTGGGAAAAAAACCCTGTTTACCTTTCAGCACGGATGATATTTTTGGGCGCCCCTCCATTGTAACCTCACCCCCCCCCCCCCCCCCCCCCCTCAGGATAAGAACCCTAGCTACGCCGCTGACGAGGGTCAACCCCTCCACCCTCCCAAAAGAAAAGGATTAAAATTTAATATTCAGTCTGGTAGCATGCACATTTTATGCGATCCCGCGCGCCAGCCAATCGGAGCTGACTTTGAAACTGCGACGTCGTGGAATTATGTAGACTAAACTGTTGATTAGTCAATATTTGGGTGCACCGTTTTTGTAATGCAACAACAGATTACGGAAGACCCGATATATATAGAAGGCGCCCGCTGAATGGTCAGAATCTGGATGTCAAGACGCTATAATTTGTAAAATTTATCGCCAAATCGCAAAATATCATAGACGCTTGTCTGCAAGCGGCTATCCCAGACTGCCCTTGCCCGTCGCTGTCACAAAATAAATGTGTATGGTTGGGGAATGAGAGTCGGTAACGGAGTCAGATTGTTTTTCCTTTAATTTAACGAATGTATTGATTCATCATCTTACACTGGCGTGTTGTTTAAATACGGGCGATTCCCAATAGTGCGCCTCCAAGAGTTTGCAACGCGTTGGCCAATCACAATGCGCAAAATCAGTCGACCCAACGCCCGTTTGGAAAAGGTCGACTGATTTCGCGCATTGTGATTGGCCAACGCGCTGCAAACTCTTGGAGGCGCACTATTGGGAATCGCCCGTATTGAGATGGGACTGTACACCATCTGGCACTGTCTCTTTTGCAGACACTTTACAGTTTTTACCCGGTAAGGTTTTCACCCGAGTCAGGGGCGATAATTTTATCGTCGCAAACGACAACCTCCAGCAATAGTATTGATGTAATTATTAGTGTTATTTCCGCATTCTTTAGTTTCCCTTCCGGTACTCCAAGGGCTATATTTTGTGTTAATCCAAAAGACACCGCTCTCAATGAAATAACTTGACTTTGCTTTACGTATTGTACATAAAAATCATTGGGATTCGAACCCTTGGTGGAGAGTGGATTTGGAAGCTAAACAATGCGTGCGTGAAATCACCGTATCTCTGCGAAAGGAATGCTGCAGTAAGTAACGACTCAAACGCACAAAAACAAAATCATGGGCACAATTTTGAAGCTCCGGTAGGAATTTCAATTTGTCACGTGGTGGTTTGTCGGTCGGTCGGTCGGTCTGTCTGTCCCCGTAAACTGACCAAAGTCATGGCGTTTCATCTGTGCCATCGGCGTCGCATTTTTCGGCGTAACATTTTCAAGCTCTGGCAGGGATCATTTTTATCTATTTCATACAAGACTTCTTGCAACACGGCCAGGGCTTACTGTGCACTCGCACTTGTTTTTTTTTTTCCAAAATCAAGAATGTCGGTATTTCGTCATTGTGTACCCCTTGCCCCCCCCCCCCCCCCCCCCCGCGACGCCCCATGCAACCTCGTTTATCTCTTGGTACAATATTGATCGGCTACTCTGGATGTCGAGAGTTCCTTAGGATTCACTGAAGCAAGTACGCGTAAAATACTTACTCAAAAGTAAGGTTTGCACAATTTGCGTTCGGGAAAGACCTGTCATTATGAAACATGGTACAAACAAATATATTTAAACGAGATATTGAGCGTTGTCTCAGTCTCACAGTTTCCCAGATAATAACTTTTAACTTAAAATACTTCATTTGACAAATGCTATATTTTTTTGATGAGATAAGAGTGGAAAAGAGCAGACCATCAAAACTTGGCCCTCAAGGACATCAAGAATGGTTGCAGTTTTAATAATTGCCACTATAGGTAGCATAGAAAATGCATTTAAATTTTCAAAAAAAATTGTTAATTTATCTGGACATTATACACATTTATAATAACTACACAATATTGCTCAGCTGGAATAATTTTATTGATTGTACATAATATATAATTACTTTAAATACTTGTTTTCTTGTTTAATACCACATTAAAGAAAACTGTTGACATTGAATATTTTTGGCAGTTACTTCCCTCTTGATGCCAGCCCATCCCTCCCCCATGAAAATACATGTATTTGTAGATTTGAAAATGTTCAGATTATTCCCCACTTTGTGTTCATCCCAGACTCGAAACCTACATACGCCAATGTTCGGGCCAAGAGTCTTTTATTGTTTTTTCCAAAGATGTGTCCGAGTCATTTCTCATGTGATTTCCTGCTCAATATCAAGCCTCAAAAGTTGCCATAAAATTAGTTCTTTTGCGTTATTTTTTTTAATTATATATTTCTTTGAGTTGGGATGTCGGCCCATCAATGAGCCAACAACACGAATATAACTAAGGGACTAGAGAACCAGACTGACGAGTCGACGAACTTGAAAGGCAATATACATGCAGCCTAGCCAGGCGTTCCGCCTGGCTGGCCTGGCAACAAATTGGTTTTAACTGAACGATAGAGGGCGCGGCACGGTCGCAGCCGTGTCTGAATGATATATTGGCTGCGTCCGTTAAGCCGCGTCCACAGCCGCAGACGCAGCCAGCGGCCACAGCCGAAACATTCGGACGCAGCCTCACATTGCCATGCAGCCGCGGGGCCAGGAAAAGTTTTGCCGCGGCGAATTTGGTTTTGCCGCGGGGAATTTTGTTTTGCCGCGGAGAATTTGCTTTTGCCGCGGAGAATTTGCTTTTGCCGCGGAGAATTTGCTTTTGCCGTGACAGTTGTGGGCCACCGTTCTGTTAACATGCAGATCTATGGCAAATTGTACACGTTTTCCTCAAGAATGTTCTGGTTGTACAATACATTCAGCAGCTGATGCTAGGCACGCCCCCATGCTGTAAAATAAAATATCTGATTTGACATGCTGTTTTCAGTGTAATTTATTGAAGACTGGTGTTTTTTTATGCGGACATGCGGATGAGAGAAGCGACAGAGCATGACATTTCAGAAAACCAATTTTCTGCACAAAAAGATGCTTTAAAGATGCTAAAACAAAAGATGCTTTAAAGGGCCCTGAACCGCCAAAAATATCAGGGGCATCTTCGTCGTGCGTTAGAAGCAAACACAACTGAAATTAACAAAAAAAATTCTGACAGTTGCTAACGCCCAAAATAGAAAAACCATAACGAGAGTAATTTGAAAATATGATGATTAAAAATGTCACCAGTCCTGCACATTTGTGACGTTTAAGTTCACCAGAGCTTAAAGCTTGCTATTTCTTGACGATGATGTTCGTCGATGTCCGTCTCCTTCAGTGGTCATTAGGTGTCTTCTCAAGAAGGAAAGCGTCTTAGACCAAACATCCTGACAGGCATGAGCGTGTGCTTTCATCTCTCCACCGAAATCCAGCACGTGGTCTGCACAGACAAACACATTGTCATTGTTGCAAGGAAAATATTAAAATGTTTAACGAAATTTTTGATAGCTTTTTAAGTGGTAAATGTTAAAATCCGAACGAAAAGGCGTGGGAAGATAACATTGTCAACTTCTTTAAATACTTCAAAGTATCCCGAACGGTTCCTGGACATTTCATCACAATGGCGATCATATGTCATTTGAACGGAAATGATACAACAATGAATTTGATTTTCCTATAGACCTTTCTATTGTGTGTAAACAATGAGCGCCATTTTGTATGGGCTGCCGCAAGCGCATAAATTGATGCCGTGGTTGGCGATATATTTTTCCAAAAGGTCCCCATAACACCCTCATAACATAAGATAAATGCATGTTTACGAAGTCTTTTGTAGTGTTTGTTGATTATTTTGTATTTTCAACAATCAAATAATATGTGTGTAATAATTAATAACTATTCTCCATTTTTGTAGTGTTGGACCTTCCACAGTTTTGCAACCCGTAGTTGGCAAATTGTGCCAACCAAGCGTGGGCGATAGAAAGGTCTATTTGTACGAATATTGTAAATAGGAGGAACCCGACTGACGAGAGTAGCGCAATTGAAGCCCCTACAAGAGGCCGCGTCATGGACAAATTCGCAAGTTCCGCAGCAGACTTTTTGAAAAGGATGTTAAAAACTGTTATTTTTGTAAACACCACTTAATAAAAAAACAACCTAGTGACTGAAGGGCATACATACCCAGTGGAGCATTATAGATCCCTCTGCCTGCAGGTTGGAAAGGGGGTTCCAGAAGATGCCCCGCCCCCTTGTAGCTCAGCAACTCGTAGTTAGTCTTATTGTGAGACTGCATCTTCTGCACCGTCCGTCTGGCGCCCTCTGCGGCGGGGACATTTTGATCGTCCTCCCCAAGGACGAAAAGGAAACGTGCCTCCGAGTTCTGTATCTGGATAAACAAACATGAAACCCAACATTAAGCTCTTGAATTATGCAATAAATGGCAGACGTTACACGGAAGTCGTGTATTAGAGTGTAATTAAACACTATCCTTGTGGCTGTTAACACTGAAAAGAAATGCCCGGTTTCACATTTCAACATTAGTTACACATTTATGCCGCCAGCTGGTGGCTGTACGTCCAAACTCTTTTCGAAATTGTATGTTTATTATTGTTTCACTCATTTGCATTTGTAAAGAAGGGCCAAGGGATAATGCGGCGACTGGTTTCGGCCTGTAATACTCTGTAAACGATGGCATCTTGGTAAAGACAATGAAATGGAAGATTTAGTAAGCAAATAGTATTTCAAGAATACTGATTCAGAAACATCTTCCTCTCTAAATAGAGCTTACATCGATCAGTTCCTCGTCGGGTAAGTTACAGACGTCCTCCGTAAACATTTCTTTCATCGCAAAGCCTTCTTTGCTCATGTAGCCTTTCTGTGGATCGACCTGAAACCAAAATTCAAATAATGAACTAGGACAATCGGTTATCCCTTCATTTCTTGCTTTGTCAAAGTCCCTAACGCACTTCTGAGATTATATCCAATGAGGAACAAACAACCACGAATAAGACTCGAATGGTGTTTAGACGTAATTCAACGTTTTTATTTTATCGCTATCAACACAACATACTGCACTCATAACAAGCCGGGAACATTATTGCATCAAAATTATTTAATCATGACGCCCCTTGATATGTAAACAGAACTCAACTATGTATACATCAATATGTGCTACTAGACTTACTGGCGGATGTGAAGAAGGCATCCTTTCCCCGCGGTACGTGAGGAGCGTTTTAAAAAATGGAAGGCATGAAGTAGCAACAACTGCCTTTATCTAAGACGAAGAAATAGTTGTAACATTTATTAGGTCAAGGGTGTGCGAGCGGGGCAAGGGAAGGGGCGACAACTAGAAAGAAAAATAGGAGGGATGTCTAATGCATTATTTTACTTTGAATTCAACGTTTGTAACACATTAGAAACTACCAAAAAGGCGGGTGCCTACGTGAGAGCATTATACAATCATTTGTTGGAAGCATGACATTGAACACAAGAGAGTCCATCATGATTCCTGGACCTTACATCAACCCACCCCCAGCCAAAGACCAAAAACTATCATCCCTGGTTCATTAACTTTGTAATACATAAGTGCCAAGATTGATGCATCGACCGATGACAAATGAATTTGGAGATAGGACAACAAAGGTTTGAACTAACCTGGGGAAGTCTTGCAGCCATTTCAAGAGCTATGCAGCCTCCAAAGGATGTGCCTACAATACCTGTAGCATTGGGAGACACGAAGGATTGCGAGGATAGCCAGGCAGTTGCCTCCTGCGGAAGCAGTACAGAAAGCAATAAAGGGAAAGCTGAAATGAACCCAGCGTCAATGGAGCTGCTATATACGCCAGGACAAACATTACTTGCCTTTTAGCGAAACCTGGTTAGCAGTCAAATTGCCTTGCAATGTGTATACTGCTTCTGATTCCTTTATCAAGGAAGGGTGGACATTATGCCCATTTCCCCCCTATAGACAGCCGCATGATGCACCGATGTAGCGCTTTGTTTCCACAAAGATGACATTAAAAAAAAAACTTATAATAGCTGATAATGTACCAATCATTACTCTTTATGTGTAATTTCCAGGGTGGTTTTTTTTAAAGGATGTCCGGTCTATGCATACCTCAAAGTATTCAAACTCCAGATGATGGAAAGACCGAGGCAGGTCCTCGTAACTAAAGTAGGGAAGAGCAAGGGCGACGATTCCCTTGGAAGCCAGCATAGCTGCCCGGTATTCAATGACTCCACCTGCTAGACCAAACATATCGATCACGGCTGGAAATGGACCTGGTCCTGAACAATTAACACAAAATACGCATAATATAAAGTGTAATGAATTGGGACAGTTTGGGGTCCTGGGTATTTTTAGAGTAAATTTATCACAGTGTGTACATGCTCTTCGGGGAGACCGAGCAATAGGATACGGATCGTGCAGCTAAATTTCTGTATGATGTACAGTGTCATTCTTTCCCTACCAGTTAAAGATTGCGTTAGAAATAAACAGAGCAAAATGTAAGACGACGGTATTAAAAGTTTCACCCGGAGTCATTACATTTCGTCTGCCGTCCCCTGGTTCAATTGTCTTGTCCCTCCAGCCTTCGTTTGGTCTCCATGTCTCCGTTTCCCTTGGCCGACACTAAATTTCTCCCGTTTAATCAATCAATCAACTACATCCACAGGTTGTGTAGTTATTGGAGGGAGGCCTAGGCTTGCTTTTGAGTCACCAACATTTCTCAAAATTCAGCTTGCTCTAGAATCGTCCCAATGCGGTTTCCAGGCCGTTTGTAGGATTCGGCATTGAATGTTTGGTGTGGCGCTGGTTCGGTTGGCGTATCAGGTGTGCGGTGAACTTGCGGCGTTGTGCCGCCACAAATTCGTGAAGAGGTGAGGACTGGCACAGCTCATATATATATCATTATTAGAATATTTGTAGCAGTGCCTGTTTTCGTCTGTTGGAGCTCGACGGAAGCCACTGCGGGCTAATCGGCGCAAGAGCAGGGTATGGGTCGAGGTGAGGCAACACTCCTGTGCTTTTTCGTAAGCGTCCACGTCTGGCACGCGTAGGCCTATGTCAGTTGTGCTCTAATGAATGCCCGATAGAATGCCATGCGTGTGTGGAGCGCTATTTGGTAGTTCTGGAGGAGACGTTTCATCTCGCCAAATTTTAGCCCACAACGCCACTGTCTAGAACTAGACGTTTTAGACGAGTCCCTACTGTGAAAATAAACCCCTTGGACCGCTCAGCTAGCACTTCAGTGTGTATTCAAAAATTCAAGCACCTCAGTGCTCGATAATTCTTATTCTTAAAAATTAGAAATTAGATTGATGATGTATTGGCCCCCTGGAACCGTTGGATTACCGAGAGGCCACGCTAGACCTTCGGCCACAATATTGTTTATTATGATAATAATTTCATTTACTTATGCTTACAATGTATAATTCAGCATCAGCTTAATTAATGACTGGCATCGAGCACTTTCTTAAGTTATACATTGGTATTACATGTAGGGTTATAATGATATTAATCCGAGCCAACCTTTTGGTTTATAGAGAATTCCTCGGATCTTCCCTGAGTGTATCTTGATTCTGTCCACTTCACTCTCCTTCATGTACCATCTCCGTGTTTGAGTGACGGCCAGTGGTTGTGCTGTGATGAGCAACGGCAACTCCAAATGCTCATTGTACACGGCAAAGGTGAACTCGACAGGTTCCGTGACGTCTTGCTTTGCCAGGCGAATACCCCTCTTTTGGCCTGGTGCAGGGCCGAGGCTCCAAAACAACCCCATGGGTTCCAAACCTGAGAAAACAAACACATATCTTCTAGCATCTCCATTAAAGTCATGAATAAACAAGGTCGGAAATCTCTTATTGGGGATGAAATGCTTGAAATTTGGACATTGACTGCTAAACACTGAACAATTGCTAATTTTACCCAAACCGAGCAAAGGTAAAAACTGCAAATACCCAAAATTGGGTTGTCCTTTCCCCCCATTGTTTGGGTTAGAATTTCTGTTAAATTCAACACAATTTTGTGGTCATACCAGACTACATTAAATTTGGTCTTGTATCACCACAAGCTTTGGTTGAATTGTACAGGAACTCTAACCAAAACAATTGGGTAAAGCACAACCCAATGTGGGTTGTTGCAGTTTTCACCCTTTGCTTGGGTAAAAGTAAGGGGCCGTTCAGAATTTTCAATGTTTTAAAATTTCGACTTTTTTTCCAAATTATTTTGACCCACCCACCCACCCGTAATTTCGATTAATAAAAAACTGAACATGTACATGTACATGCACTTGCATGTACATGTACTTGAACACCATGTACATGTGTGTCTAGTTCAGTGACGGCGTGAAGTTGTCGGTCTTCCTCTTTTGCACTGGTGACCTTCAGTTTTCTTGTGTTTTGCCAGCTGATATGCTGTTGGGAATGACAGGTTGCAGTTTTGGAAGCGGACCGTGGTTTTGTCGTTTTCTGGATGAGGTGGATGACATGTGACATACGAGGTTGTGCCTATCACGTGAGGTAGCTGAGAAAAACATTCGCTCGTCCCCCCCCCCCCCCGCCCTGTTTGCAGGGCGGGGGGTACGAGCGAAAGAAAACATCAGGTTTGGGCAGACATCACATCACAGGCTGCGGTCCTCGTAGTCTTGGAGTCCAGTGGTTGAATAGTCCAGTTTTATAGCGATTGGATACACGTAGGCCTACATGACGTACATGTACAGTACACAGTGGCGTAGCCACGGGGGGGGGGGCGTGGGGGGACAGCCCCCCCCCCCATGAAACCTTGTCGCCCCCCCCCCCCCAGTCGCCCACCCCCCCCCACCCCCACCTGAGATTTTGAGTTTCTAAAAAAATTATCATTGATCTACATGACGCCCCCCATGAAATGTTCCACTGGCCCCGGTTGACTATGCACACCATGGCTCGAACTATAGTGTGATCCGGTACACTCGCTGGCCCCGTCCAGCTGTTTCTTCCCCGTCACTGTAGCGGTCCGCTCCCGCTTCAGTCCGGCCGTCCCTGCGAAGCGAAAGCTCGTACCGTGCCACTCGGTTCAGCTAAAATCTTTGGCATACTTGGTTCCCCCAGTTAGTGTTGTGAGACTCCGACACCGGTGTTGAAACCAAGGAAAAGCCTGACGTTGGAGGAATCCCCACGAAGTTAAATAAACCAGTAAAGTCACTGTGTGAAAGCTCTGTTTCCCGCCAAATTCGTTATCATAGATAATAATGTTGATTCTAATATAAAGTTAATGAACTAAATGCAACAATAATTTCAGGAATGAATTGCAGGGCAGCTCCGTCGCACAGCCTTTAACGTTTCACCACTTGAAACTTAGAACTGATAGACACATGGATTACAAGATAAGAGAACTGTTCAATTGCCTCATTCATGTTCTCCAAAGTCATCGTGTTAAAATTAGAAAAAGTTTTAACTATGGAAGGTTGTGAATCTTTTCTTTCAAAACTGAGGGAGGAATTGTTGCAGTCATATTTATTTTATCGTCAATGTAAAATTGTGTCTTATTTCATTTTGTTCCCGGGTATTTTCTTGTTGTTTCTTTAGTGTGTGTATTTAATGTGAGTGTAGACCTATGTATGTCAACTAGGTTGTTTGTTTTTATGGTTTGCATTTTTCTCTCTGGGGAATGGGATTGCTTTTGTTTCTCGGTTTTGTTTTGTTTTGTTTGTAATAATCTTTTTAGCCCGTTTGTCATTCATTCCCGTTATTGAGTCTGGTTGTTTGTTTTGTTTGTTTGTTTGTTTGTTTGTTGGGTTGTAAGAGTATTTATTTATTAGTTCGTTTTTATATTTTTGTATCTGTCTGGCTTGTCCACTCTATGATTTTTTTGCTGAGTCTTGTCTCATCTCCCCGTCTTGTCTCGTCTCGTCATGTCTCGTCAAGTCTCGTCTCGTATGATTTGTACAATTTACTTTTCAATAGTACTTTAATTTTTATGAATGGAATTTTAAATCTGTTTTATTGGCAGGGGTTAACAATAAGCCCAGTGTTAACAATATTTCTCGTTGTGGGTCTGAAAATGAAAATTGTCGGTGTGTGTATTGTGAATATGATCAAGTGAAATTATTTATGCAGTATTTTGCCCATTTCCCTCAAAATTGCATATTGTAATATTGTACATTTTTATCAATTTGCTAGAATATGTGATACCTCACCAACAAGTATCTTTTAACGAAATTCAATCAGAATATTTATCAATTAAAAAAAAAACATTAGTTGTTGTGTTACTTGTTGGTGTCCCTGCCACACTGTACGATGGTGTAGCCGTGCGTTATGCACGTGGATTGTTTACTTTCGTTTTGACGGGGACTTTACTGAATAGAGTCTGGTGACTGTACATAGAAATTTCTTTGAATAAAAGTCGAATCGTTCATTCATGTGCACTTGTTATGCAAAGCAGGGGCAGTGGTTCAAGGATATCTATGTCGACATGAAGAAAGTGTGCAAGAACGCGACTTGAATGCTTTTATGTGTTCACAATACAACGACGCTGTTTAGTTATTTCACTGTGTGACACAGTGAGAAATTTGGAATCATAATGGCGTCAGCGATACTTGCTGGGGAGCTCTTGCGTACGACTTTCTGTACTTTGGGACTGTTGTTTCCAGGACAATTGTGTGTACGGTAACCCGACGTACCCAGATTTTTAAAGACGAAATTGCCGACCTCAAACTTGTTAGTGCCATATTTGGCAACTATATGTGCGTTATTAGTTTAATTAACCAAATGAACAGGTTAATTAAACATAGTACCATTGAAGGTACCTACAAGTAAACATAACAGCATAGAAGACCGACAGACGAACATAAAATGTTACAAAATAAACATATTTGTCTGGATAATTGTTTAGGGCGTTACCGGCAAGTTAACACAAACTTGGTGTCAAATAGATCATGGGAGTTACTTTTCTTTGACTTTTCATACAAGTTTACTAAACTTTAACTGTATGACCTGCAGTGGCGTAGCCACGGGGGGGGGGGGGGGGGGCGTGGGGGGCGACCCCCCATGAAACCTTGTCGCCCCCCCCCCCATTCGCCTCCCCCACTGAGATTTTGAGTTTCTAAAAAAAATTATCATTGATCTACATGACGCCCCCTCCCCCCCCCCATGAAATGTTCCAGCCCCCCAGCCCCCCCCCCCCCCCCCCCCCACTGAAAAATTCCTGGCTACGCCACTGACAGTACATATAGGGGACGAAGTTGGAAATATCGGAATGCTTGCGCGTAGTTCAGGCAAGTCAAAAGATATATCTTTCTTTGTTTTTTTTAATCTTTTTTTCCATGGAAAGTGAATTTCGATTTTCAGTTATTTAGCTTGACCCACCCACCCACAATTTGGAAAAAAGATCGAAATTTTAAAACATTGAAAATTCTGAATGGCCCCTAACCCAGGCAATTTTTCAGTGAATGCAATTAGTGAATCTCCGATAGCCCTGAAGAGATTTACACGTTGTGTGTATAACATTTTGGGATTATAATTAAATTCATTTGATTTGTATTTGCGGGTTTTTAAAAATAAGTAGAAAGTTATCCCAAATGAGAAGTTGCACTATTGTCCGATAGTGTGCATGATCACTCGATTTCAAGGGCGGAAATCGCTCCTCGAACGTGGGGGGGACAGGTTTTGTTTTCTTTTCTATTCGTTTTTTTCCAGCTCTCAGTTCTTCACAGAGGGAAAACAGATTTCCTGCAAGTAGCCTTAAAGGGAATATACATCATTTGCTTTTGCTGTAATTTTCAGAAATGGATGGAATTGGGGGATAGGAAATATAGAGCAAATATAGTTACACTGACTTTTTTGAGGTTTTGGGTTCGAAAATGCTATAAAAACCAAGAAAAACGATCATTTTCCTGTTGTCTGGTTCCCTGACTCCATACAAGAAGAAACAGAGCAGTTTACATACATTGGGGAATTGTAAGGTCAGGGAACCAGTCTAGCTGGCTCGTACCCGTTCATAGGTTTGTAATCGATTGCAAACAAGTGCGATGGTCAATTGGGGCCAGTATTTGAAAAAAAAGCCAGTTGTTTCCAACGCTGATCGGCCGATCAGCGTTGGAAATTGATACAAAAATACCACTTTTCTTGAAAATGACAGTATACCAGGTGCCATGATTTTACAGGATGCTTTACACTGTCATTCACTAACAGTCCAGCAAAGTATTTCAAAATGATTTGGTAGTTTTATTGTTTGATGTTTGCAAATGTTGTATTTTCCCTTTAAAGGGAATATACATCATTTGCTTTTGCTGTAATTTTCAGAAATGGATGGAATTGGGGGGTTGGAAATATATAGCAAATATAGTTACACTGACTTTTTTGAGGTTTTGGGTTCGAAAATGCTATAAAAACCAAGAAAAACGATCATTTTCCTGTAGTCTGGTTCCCTGACTCCATATAAGAAGAAACAGAGCAGTTTACATACATTGGGGAATTGTAAGGTCAGGAAACCAGTCTAGCTGGCTCGTACCCGTTTATAGGTTTGTAATCGATTGCAAACAAGTGCGATGGTCAATTGGGGCCAGTATTTGAAAAAAAGCCAGTTTTTTCCAACGCTGATCGGCCGATCAGCGTTGGAAATTGATACAAAAATACCACTTTTCTTGAAAATGACAGTATACCAGGTGCCATGATTTTACAGGATGCTTTACACTGTCATTCACTAACAGTCCAGCAAGGTATTTCAAAATGATTTGGTAGTTGTATTTTTTTATGTTTGCAAATGATGTATTTTCCCTTTAATAAAAGGATTTGTCAGTCTAAATGTTGTTTAGTAAGTCGTGAATGCATGCACGCAACCTCAATTTCTTCTGGATGTGAGAGTCCTCATGAGTATGACATTAAAAGCAAAATGTGATTGCAAGGTTTTGGAAAATGCTGAATATTTGTTTCACATAGCAACCGACCACCATAAAATTATACCCACGCACATCAAATCAGTATGCGAACAGAGAACACATTGAGACAGTTCACTGTACAAATTTATTATTTGGTCCAATAACTAATTGTCTTACGAAGAAAGACTAAAACATCTCAACCAACCAACCTTGTGGCTTATCGGCGCATACGAGGAGATATGACAGAGATGTATATAATACTTTAGGCCCCCCAAAAAAGTCTCCGGTTTCTGGTATGGAGCTTGCGCAAAAAGTGGTGCGGCGACGCGGTTTTTTTTTGTTTTACCTAATTTTTTTGCTTCAAATGTCGGCTGATGACTGCAAATGGTGCCCGACTAAATTTAGTGCAAATATATGGAGAGAGGCCACATAAAGCTTATTCTCGACCATAACCCAATCTAAAAACACGTTAAAATTGTGCAGCAGCAGGATTCCAGTCAAACCAGTGAGTTTGGCGGTTTTTTGAGACATCATCTTTCATTGAAAAAAAAACCTTTTTCATTTTGCCGACGCGCATGGTTACGGCGACGCGCGCGCATACCAGAAACCGGAGACTTTTTTTTGGCCTTATAAAGAAGTCTCCAATTACATCCCCCTAAGCTCTAGTGTGACCAGTGACCACCAGTTTGAAGTAACAAGGTTGGATCTCAAAAAGTGGTCGGTTCTGCACAGATGCACTGACATACGGAATAGCCTCACTGAAGTTGTGGTTTTTAGCACCTAGTACACAGACCTTGGACAAGCTGTGGGCTTCACTCTTCTTGTATGCTACAAACATAAGGTCTATAGCTGTCCCTAGACGTATATCACGATACGCCAGACGTTCAGACAATCCTCGTGGAGAAAGGGGGTTTAAACCGTTCGGAAAGTGCCTTTAAATGAGCTTGACGACCAGTTATAAAGATCCAATCATTGCCAAGCTCGGCACGAGGGGATACAAATGTTTACAGACACAAAGATGGTAACAAATAAATCGACAGACAAACGAAATTGAATTGGATTATTTATTTTAGTTGAAGGTATTATATTATTATCAGAGCTTTTAAGTATAGTTTCCATTAGAAGATTAAGTTTGAATAAATACGAACGTAACATCAAAGAGTTAAAAGGAAATTAATTACATGAATTGTAAAGGTATTTACAAATTATCGGACATTTTGAAAAGTCATGTGCGTGATAAAGGGGTAGCCATTAATTACTCAGTCTGTGAGGGTGTATATAACATTAAAATTAATAAGATGAATTAAATCTTTTTAAATATAGTAAAGATTTATACACGCATTTATCCGTGTAGAACGAGATTATTATCTGGATTAACCATCATAGCGAGAATATATATATAGCAACAAATTAAGATGAAGACGATTAGAGGAGGCGGACATTGGGAACTTTATTTCCATAAATTGGGAACTCAAGGTTTATTATCAAAAACGAAAAAGGAATTATACTTAAACAAAGAAAGCATATACACATGAAGGACATTTGGGAAGACTAACCAGCATAGCTAGGATGATATTTTTGAAGAAGGAATTTGGGGAAGACTAACCGGTATGGTTAGGAAGATATTTTTTTAATAAGAAAATTGGGGAAGACTAACCAGCATGGCTAGGAGGATATTATAGTAGGAAAAATGGGGAAGACTAACCGGCATGGCTAGGGTGATATTTTCTAAAAAAGGAAATCGGGGAAGACAAACCGGCATGGCTAGAAGGATATTTTCTAGCCAGTGAGTTCTAATCAAGCCTTAGTCATTACTCTATTGAACAAAAGGACCTGGACCATGAAGAAATTTGAGTGTACACTGCTTTTTAGACATTACAGCCTGCAGTGGTAACATATCAGCTGTTTGTATTCAGTATCAACATCATCTCCTAGCCTAAAACCACGATAATATCCCCCGAAACTAGCCTTAAACCACGATAATATCCACCGAAATTATATTACTCACAAAAAGTCACAGGCTGAACTGACAACTTTCCACTTGTAATATTGCCATTGGGTATGGCAGCCATAGCGCGGATTGCGGGCCGGAGTGGGGCCGAATTTGTATAGGAGTAGCAAATTATAATGTTGTACGCAGGCAACATTGTGTGTATACCGCATGAACCAACACGCATGTACAGTACATGTACATGTACGTGGGTAGGCGTACATGGGACCATTGGTGGTTAAAAAAAGGCTTGGTCGAACCGACAAGAAAACTAAATTGGTTCTCAGCCACAAAGCGACGTATCAAAGAGGCTTTTCCCTAAGACTCTGCCATGGTTGGTCACCCACCTACACATAAAAACATGGAGGGGACATTCGACATTGTGTCCCCCCTTACCAAATTCATGGGGGGGGGGACGTGTCCCCCTGCCCCCCCCCCCCGGATTTCCGCCCATGCTCGATTTGAACAGCGCCCCCCCCCCCCACCCCTTAAATTTGATATAGTACGGACGTCAAGTGTTCGGGAAAAAAACCTGTCTACATCTGCGAACTCCCCCCCCCCCCCCCCCCACACACACACCCACACACGCACACACCCACCCAGACACAAATGAATTTGTTCCGCCACTGGGACATACAGAAATCTGACTGGCCGGCCCCCCCCCCCCCCCCCCCCGGGGCAAAACTTCCTGGATCCGCCCCTTGGAATGGTCCCACCTGAAATTAAGTTGGGACCGTCTCGAATTCACTGAAAGATCATTATGCTTTATTCCGTTTTCGAAAGCATTACTTAACATCTATATGGCCTACCTGTGTAGCTACCACCCAGTGATTGCTGGGTGTTGAGGTCCACTTTACCATCCCGATCTGCTTCAAAATGACCCACGGCTTGGAAAACCTTGTCTCTATCCTGCACACTTAACCGTAAGCTAACGCGAGTGTTCGGTGCCAAACCACTGACTACGACGGACACAGTGTCGTCTATGAAACTAGACGGCGGAAAGACCGCAATGCTTGTCATGTTAGCACACTGCCCTGCGCATGCAATACGACTACGTGTTCTCAGTGTTCCAACGATAGCTTGTCTCAACAAACCATTCATCTTCCCATCGTTGGGATTGTTTCTATCCTATCCAGTCCGAGTACAGCGGCCATGGTCGAGGACGGTCCAAGCATGCAACTTGCCAATTGACCTTCGATTCGGTATGATTATTCGGGTCACGGTCACCGTCAATACAGTTCCGCGATGAACAACTGCATGGTGGCGCTATTCATTTCACATAATACTTTTTTTTTTTTACAAATCCTCAAGTTCATGGACCACAAAATGCTTTAATAGCCTAGCAGAGAAAACGGCATGCAAATCGTGCTTTGGCCGGCGTAGGCAATTGAGGAAACGAAAAATTTTAAAGAAAATTTAAGGAAATCCAAAATTCAAAAGACTTTTCAAAGAAATTGCATAAATTTAAGAAATATCATTGAAAACATATTAAATTTGTGTACGGCTGCTGGAGGGCCGCGTCCCAGAAAGAGCCGAAGCCGCAGTCTGCATAAAATTATGAAAGCAAGTGCAGATGATGAGGACGCGCAGTGAGCTTCGAAGAGACTTCTGAAAAAAAAATAAACCTGTAGGAATTATCAATCTTATTACAACCATTGTGGCTTCAAGTTACATATATTTAAGAAGATCAGGAAATACAGAGACAATTCTAAGGAAATTTCAGGAATATGACAATTTTTAAGGAAATTCAAATTTGGAAAGTGGAATCACTGATTTTTGAGAAATCTTATATTATATAGGTCAGGAAGCCACCCCGGCTAAAATAAACCTGACCAAAAAAAAACACCGGTCAGGGTCTTGCATGCCCGTTTCTTGGACGTTTACCGAATACATAATAGTTGCCCGGTCTTATGATCAATGTGGTATCGTTGTTCTTGTCTTGTCATAATCCCTAAATGTAAAATAGTGAGGAAAAAACAAGACTCTTTTAAAGAGCATTATGAGGGGACAAACTTTTACGAGTGGATTTTCACTCTCAGTGAAGAACCACCCTAAAAGAGTGAATTAACTTCCACTCTTTTTAAGGAGCCATGGAGGAACAACTTCGAGTGTTTGTCACTATTTTACTTTTAGAGTACGGAAGGGCTTAACTTGACCTTTGTATCATTATCTGCAAGACTTCGGATAACTGGTTGGTTATTGAAATGATTGGTTTTATAGTTATCCTTGGCCCATAAAACACAAAGAGTTTTCAATATGTATTATATTAGGACACAGATATTAGGACACATTATTTTGACTTATTTTCTAAGTTCCGTTGTACTGTTATTTTAATTGTGGTGGTTTTCTCACTTCCTATATAAAAGTGATTCGAACGGGGATCTTGCAGTTTTTGTATATTTACTATTAGGCCAAAAAAAAGTCTCCGGTTTCTGGTATGGAGCTTGCCCAAAAAGTGGTGCGGCGACGCGGCTTTTTTTTTTACTTATTTTTTTGCTTCAAATGTCGGCTGATGACTGCAAATGGTGCCCGACTAAGCTTAGTGCAAATATATGGGAGTGCAGAGAGGCCACATAAAGCTTATTCTCGACCATAAGTAAAACAAAATCTGGTCTGAGGGTAACACATTCAATTGAATAGAGACTGCATGGTTTAAAGTCACATTCATTAATCATAAGGCCAAATAAACAAAAAAATGTTTAGCGTCCTGCTGTTTTGAGAAAAAAGGAAGAGGCCCCTTTTTTTCCCCTTCCAAAATGGCCGCCCGACCTGCCTTTTTTTTTCAACATGGCCGCAAGTTTTTTTTTTTAAATGGCCGCCACTTGGACTCAGGAATGACATGGCCAGCTTTATATGGGCTAGATGCAACAGACAAAGAGTCACTGTTTATCATTTGTTTCGTGTTTAAAAAAAAAGAAAAAAGAACAAAAAAAGGAGGCGGCCTCCAAAAAGGAAGCGGGCGCGGCGGGAACCGTAAAAAATGTTTGGTTTTTTTTTTTAAATTTTTATTCGGCCTAATACTACCGTTCAATGATTCGTGCGCAAGCTTGTATAAATCTTAACTGAATGATTTCAAACATATCGCATAGGCGTAGCCAGGGCGGGGGGTGGGGGGGGATAAGGGGGGTATTTATCCTCCCCCAATATTTTGTAAAGACTGCCCTTTTCCATCCAAATGCCCATTTTTCACCAGCGCTTACCCCCCCCCCCAATATTTTGTAAAGAGTGCCCTTTTTTTAACAAGTGCCTTTTTTTTTAAGTGCCCTTTTTGAAAGAAGTCGTTCGCCTTTTTTGTGAATTTCTCGAATGGATCGCCCTGAAAAGCACCGCACCATAATATCTATTAGTGTGCACAATCGTCGGTTTTGAACAGCGCCCCCTCGACAGATAATAATAAATAAAAATGAATAAATAAAAAAGTGTTACATGTATGTTCATATAAATGCAAACGAAACTTTGATGTATCTAGATTATGACGCGTTTACTTTTTCGGAAAAGTTGTTTCAGATTCTCTGCCAGAAATGTGTGATGCCTTTTAGCTAAATTTCCTAATGAATACTTTTAAAGCGAATAGGCTCATATTTCTAAGCTTTGTTATAATTATTATTGAAATCACAATAAAAACTTGCCGAAGATCACAAGAACACGTAGAATCTCGGATGTAATATGAAATTTACATACAGTCCACGCTCTCAGTGATGTTTTTAACTGAAACATGTGATATTTTAGTACATTTTAATGTATTAAAATACCGACGAAGCACATTTATTCCCATTCATAAATACCGGTCAAAAAATTAACAACTCCTTTTATGGAGATTGGCGTACTGCGTGTGTGATGCCTCACAGATGCAGCTGTGGTGAGTGCGTTGTGAATTTAGGACTATGAAATACCGACTCACTGGTAGTAGTATTGCGCATGCCTACGTGAGGGTTGTGATCGTTCCACCAATAAAACGGTTAAATGCACTGGATTTCATAGGAGTCTAAATTTCATGTGACACTGGAAAGTGTTTAAGACCAGCCATCATGTCTTTATCATCCGTTTAAGACCGGCCACGTGACGGGCTCTCGACCAATGGGAATGGGTAAACTGTCTAAGATATTTATGAATATGTAATATAACACCCCATGCAATTTGTATATACACTCGTACATTTATTTTAGTTTTCTAACTAAATTGTTTTAGTGTTCTGAAAAGCCATCAGGATCGATATCTAATGACAAGACTTACGGTCGGGTATTCTGACATTTCTTATTTCAATTATGCATTCAAGTTTGAAATGTCTTGGCACAATGGTAATGTTGCAGGACATGCACAACTGAAGTATCTTGGTTCCGGGTTTGGATTAAACTTCTTAAAGATGCAATACCCGCGCTACTTTTGATTTTGACACCAAAAAAACAGATTCCTTTTCTAAATTGCTATTTTTAGCAATACAAACAAATATGCACTTTTGAATGAGACATCGACCGAACAAAAATCGGCCCAGTTTTAGTTATTGAATTATTACTTTACAGATTTCGAATTATTAGCTGCCGGACACATCAGTTCTCGCTGGTAGTCCGGTTCCCGCCCAACTATCCGTATAGATCATTTACCGGGCCCGGGAGCCAGTCTGCTCGCACAAAACCTCTGCGAGCACAAAACCCTTTAATTTTCAGAGGGTTTAGACGTCTTTGAAAAGAAAGAAAGAGATTTTGTTGTTGGAAAATAACATACAAGTTGAAAATGTATTACGAGAAAAACAAATCAAATTTGTTGAAGCGCACGGGGAGCCAGCTTTAAAATGTGCATTAATTTGCGTTGACAATTTGTATTAGTAATTTGAGCGTAATTGGTTTGGGTTTAGATTTTTAGGGGTGTTAATGTGCTAATTACTCAATTGAATTATATTTAGTAATAGTAATTATTAATAAGGCTGGGTGTAGTCACGATCGACGATGTTATGACAAAATATGTTTATTCTCGTACATTTTGTTTTTGGAAAAGCCGTGAGGACATTGATGACTTTTTTTTTTTTTAATAAACATGCTACAAGGTTTAGCAAAATAATTAAACTGATTTGCTAGTCGTTATTTTCTGTTTTATATTTCACAAGAACCTTCTCTTTTTTGCATGGTAATAATGCAATAATAAGAACAATTGTTGAGGTGACCGGGTTGAGCCAGCAGTAGCGGTTAATTCATAAGATGGAATTTTGCGTTGGGGTGATGTAAATCAAATTAGGTTTTGCCCTTCACCGACGTATATAAACACTGTATACTCAGTGTGTTACCTCCCGAGTGAAAGTTGGAAAAAATCACTCGGGTGGGACTCGAACCCACGACCTCCTGCCTTCCAGTGCAGATGTCTTACCACTCGACCACCGAGCTAACGGGATCGGTTGGCTGGTTCGAATCTAATGTACATAGCAGTGGGTACCGCATTAGCTATTCATAAGATGGAATTTTGCGTCGGGGTGATGTAAATCAAATTAGGTTTTGCCCTTCACCGACGTATATAAACACTGTATACTCGGTGTGTTACCTCCCGAGTGAAAGTTGGAAAAAAATCACTCGGGTGGGACTCGAACCCACGACCTCCTGCCTTCCAGTGCAGATGTCTTACCACTCGACCACCGAGCTAACGGGATCGGTTGGCTGGTTCGAATCTAATGTACATAGCAGTGGGTACCGCATTAGCTATTCATAAGATGGAATTTTGCGTCGGGGTGATGTAAATCAAATGAGGTTTTGCCCTTCACCGACGTATATAAACACTGTATACTCAGTGTGTTACCTCCCGAGTGAAAGTTGGAAAAAATCACTCGGGTGGGACTCGAACCCACGACCTCCTGCTTTCCAGTGCAGATGTCTTACCACTCGACTACCGAGCTAACGGGATCGGTTGGCTGGTTCGAAGAAGCGGTTAATTAATTTTGTTTGAGGTTGGCGATTCATTTGCTTAAAAAAATTAGGATAATACGAAATGGCAAAATTCGCCGGGGCAGAGGGAAAGTTGCACCACTGCCCCCTCCCCCACTCCACTGCCTAACCGGATACTAATACGGATAGACCTGAACCAAAGAGATGTGGAGGCCCCACGTAACAAGAAAGCTACTGATATCGGTGACATTTTGTTGCCCTATTGAAACTTTAATATCCGCCGAAACCGTAACGGCATAGCAGGACGAATTGCAGGAAGCATTAACGGTGGGAGGCCCTG